TTCACATGACTTGGCTATTGGAGAGTTGGCTGTCCAGAAGACCTGCCATTCCTCACCAACCTTTTTCCATCCCCAGTCCGCAGGGTCCTTTGCTTCTGGCTGACACTGGGTTGCCTGGGCCCACACACAACCAGCCTGATAGGCAGCATGCCTGGTGTGTTGTAGTAGAGCTGCTCTGGTTGGTGGGATAGACTCATAGGGCCTCTGCTTTCTGGCAAACAAGTCAAGCCTTGCCTCATCCACAGTAGTAGCTGTGCTGGATCTGTCATACATGAGAATGACAAACTTCTCAAGCACCTCTATGTCACAGTCCTCTACTGTGGGAGGGTAAATACCCAGTTTGGCAAATACAGGCAAGGCTTCTGGACATATGTCCCATGTCTGCCAAGCTGTTTTCTTGCCTTTGTTGCGGAAGGCAGACACGGTGTCACATCCTATAAAGGCATGGAAGAAGAGCATGCCTTTGACCTTCTCCTGGCCAACATGCTGAAATATGTCATGCACACTGATCCAGCGCAGAGTCTGACCTTGCCCAAATGCAAGCCACATATGCTGTAAGCCAGCCTCTTGGAGACCGCCAAATACACTTAGTGCTAAGATCAGAACATCTGTGTCATTTGCCTTGATCTTGAGGGATTGGCTACCATGGTCAGTAGCATGTTTTGCGTGCACAAAGATGTGGCTGTCCGCTTCCTCGTGAGAGCACTTATCCAGTCCATCAAGACAAGTTGCATGAGTGCTGAGGACAGCAGGTCCCTTTGTGACAATGATGGTATTTGGGGCAAACATTTGTGCAACCTTGTCGGCAAGAAAGTGGTACAACTCTGTTTTGTTTTCATTTTGCCTCAGGAAGTTATGCCAGTTAGATGGCATGGCGTTCTTATTTGATACCTTGCGTCTTCCCCCCTGGCCACGTTTGGACCTGGTCTCAGCTTTAAGGCTTGATGTATTGTACACATCAAAGACTAGATGTGTCATTGTGTACTTGTTGGAGTACATGTAGATCACAGGTAAGAAGTCGAGAGCTGCATAGTCCTCAAAAGTCCTGGATCTTTTTGGTGGCAGGGCGTGGTCCAAAGCTGACCCATCTACAATGAGAACGTCTGCCTCAGGTTCCTTGTCAACTGGTGCAACATAATTCTCAAGGATAGAGGTCAGCTGAGACTTCTGGCAAGTGTTCAATTTTCCACCCTTGCTCAATGCAACAGGGAAGGACTGGTTCTCATGCTGAAAGAACTCCTGGAGGTCACACTCTCGGCTCTGACAAGAGATGAAAAGCTTTGAGAACAGCTGACAGTCCTCCTTGAGAAGTTTCTGCTTTGAGGGTTCAGCAGAAGAAGAGTCCTGTCTGAAGAAATCAGACTTGTTCTTCTTGATTGGCTCATTGAAAAAGGACGGATTGTTTTCCAGGGCCTGTGAAAACTCCAGAAATTTTGCCTGACCTCTCTGCAAGTGAGACTGCAGAAGTTCTGCAGAGTCAGGGTGAGCAATATCTTTGGTGTCAAGCGAATACAGGTCTTTACTGTCTTCCTGGAATGGGTTGCCGAGGTCTTTTAGAGTTTGGGACAATTTATCAACCCTCCTCTTGAAGGTTTTCTGTGCCTGTGAAGTTTGCTCATGGTGGCTTCTGTGCTCACTGGGCTCTTTGGTTTGTGCCTCCATTTCATATTGGGACACCAAACAACTGACCTCAGGACCAGCTACCATCCATCTCGTAAGTGCGGATGGGTCTTCAGTAAGCCCGATGGCACCACCATCACCCTTGATGATGGCATTCCCATACTAAAATCTAAATTCTGTACTGCAATGGCCCCATTGGATGCATAGACCAAAAATATGTGCACGCCAAAAGTTATTGTTTCATAGTCACGAAGATCGGATTACTTCAAGGCAACGGCAGCCATCTTGGACACCATCTCGGTTTTCAAATTTCATGTTATAACCCTAATGAAAATAACAGATAATGAAAATGATATTTTCATATAACCATATGCATGTAACAACAATCTGTGTTACAAATTTCTTACTCTCCCAATTTTGTACAAGTATCTATATGCTGTATCTCAAGAACCGTAATAGATACAGAGATGTACTAGGTACCAAAATGTCCGCAATACCCAACTTTATATTCAATTTCAATATATTTATGGGGCTTAAAATCAAGACATTTTGAGTTATAAAGGAAAAACCACATTATTGGGCGGACATCTTGGATTTTGAGGCCGCCATCTTGGAATTTTGCGTGGCTAACGTTATTCTTGAAAAGAGTGGGGTTTGAAGAGTATATGTACCAAATTTCATGCTTGTATAACAAAGTGAACGATTATCTCCTTATCTGCTCTACTATTTACAAAAATAAATAAATGCAATACTTTTACACATATTTGTGCACATGTGTGGGTTTGTTTTTTTCTTTTTTCTTATAATAGTATATATATATATGTGTGTGTGTGTGTGTGTGTGTGTGTGTGTGTGTATACACAGATATACATACATAAGGTAAAAACAGTGACAGATATTGCATCTATTTGAAGCATGTGGTGTCAAAATATCAGGAGTATGCGGTGCCAGCTGTGGCTCAGTGGTGGAGTGGATAGTCTCTTAATGGTAAGATTGGCAATGTGATCCCTCAGGACACACTGAAGACTGAAGAGACCCTGAACCGAATGTTCACCTGAGTAAATGCATACCGATGTGGATTGGTTTGTATGAATGTTACAAATAATGTCATCTGCTGTCACTGTATAAATGTGTGTGTGAATGGGTGATTGCGACATGCTGTTCGTAAGTGCTTTGAGTGATTGAAAGACGAGAATAGTGCTAAAATAAGTACAGTCCATTTACCATTTACTATGTGAGAAAAACAAGCCTCCATCTTCTGTAAGGGTATAATGTAGATAGCTCAGGCTTTGCCCTCAATTGTTTCTTTGTACCCACGGCATAGAAAACTCTATTCATATGAATTGCTTAAACTCACAATGCAATGGAACAAAAAAACAACAACACCTCTGGACACTGCTAAGGTAGTTTTTGGACCAGTAACCACCTCAATGCTCTTTTACTTTGACTGTCATAGATGATGGTACATACAGGGCTGAGCAAGTGATCAACACTCTTAAACAAACAAATGTCAGTCTTGTCATTCATGCCCATCACCTTGGGAACGACAACCAAAGTCATTAGCAAGTTGTGTAAAAATAAACGAAGCAGAGGCAGAGATGTGACACACCTGTTGTACTTCTTCTACGTTTTATTTCTGTTCACATCTTCTGTTTTATTCTATCATGATAATTGCTGCAAGAAGGCTAACAAGACATAAATAATGATATCTCTTCAACCATCATAATTTCAATTATAGCATTCTGTTTCAAAGTGATGAATGCATCATTAGTCCACTACATCCATTCTTTAAGAGGGACAGCTTACTACCTACTGTAAAATACATCCTTAAAGGAAATCAGAGAGATTCTGTTCAAGGCAGTGGTATGGCCAAGGGGCTTTTACATATTTCACGGAATTAAGACTCCGTTATTACTAGTTGTAATGCAGTATATCAAAGGCAGATACTATTACGTGCTTATGGTTAAAAATGTCTTCATCAAGTTTGATGTTTTTCTTCTTTTCTTGGTCATTATGGGGCTAAAATATTTGACTTTTGAAATCCACATAACTTCCCAATACTGTGCACAAAATCCAGTGTCAAGATGTGTTACTGGTTAGGTAGGTTGAAGGGGAAAACAACCGCTTGACCAGAGCAAAGTGAAACCAGCATAAGCATGTGGACATTTACATGTAAGGCAGACCAAAATGCTGCTATTTACCTTGGCTTTAGTGTTCCAAGTTAAGCTGGTATTTCAGTTTCTGTTCAAACAAACAGGAAATGAGTCAGTTATGAACACAAAGGACTGTACGTTCTTCAGCTTCCTTCAGATTTCATAAGTGGACATTGTTTAAAACACATACAAGCAAAGAACTGTTGTATGTTCCCAGAAAAGAGCAAGAAAGATTGATAATGATTGCTTCATACATTTGTATCCCACACCTAATGGATAAACGAGAATAACTCAACTAAGAGTTGGGCCATGGGCAGGTGGGCGAACACAATGCTTGCTTGAATGTGTGTGTGTAAGCATGTAAATGGAAAAGAATGAAGGAAAGAGTCCATCAGTTGCCAAAACAATCAATGGATCATCGAATGAGTGCATGAAAATGTGCTCTTACAAAGCGGATACCACAAACAATCTATGCACAGCCTCAGTGGACTTTTATATAACAAACTGCCCCTTCACTACCGTAAATCAAGGCTCTAATGTTTTCAACCTGTTTCTAACCCTTTCAGTCTTCCTTCCTCATGTCGACCCAGGAGGCTGGTTCCCATTAAAACACCCCCCCCTGTATTGAAGCAGCCGCTCTATGATTTGATTATGAGTCACCCCGCGCAACTTAAACTCTGCCATTGGTGGGCGAGTACGGCAGACAGGCGGCAGAGCGGTCAGTCATCAATAATACAGAGCCACGGCCCACTGTGGATGAAATATACATGAAACCTTTCCACAGGGCATCTATGCGGTTTGAATATTGGACGTAGTCTGATGTGTTAACACTTGTCAGAACACGCGTCTTTCTGTTTCAGCGTTAACTCTGGTTTAAATGCCAAGCAAAGGGCCGTGTCGCTGCTATTTAAGGACAGGGGAAGGAGTGGCATTGATAAAGACTTTGACAAATGAACTATGCTTCTTCTCTTGATTCCGCTCAGCCGGAAAGGCTGCTGTGACAAGTCTCGCCAAACTCACTCGGAAATGATTAAACTGGAAACTTGTTTTTCCCTGTTTCCTGTTGAGAACTAATGGCACATGACAGAATGTGTTAGTGGTGCTGTCTGCCCTTCCACGTCTCTTTTAGTTCATTTTTTCTCTGCTCTTTACTACTTCAATCTCCTGCAGAAACATCACTTTAGGCCCATCTTTTTTCTCTTCTCAAAGTGTTTTCTCATTTTTGAAAGTATTTCTCTGCACACTAAGCGCCACACACCAGAAATCATGCACATATCCTTCATCTTGTCTCCCCTAATGATGGTCCATCTTTAGCGAAAGGATGCATCCCCTCTCCTTCACTTCCTGCTTTGATCTGGTATCTGATAGGTTGAGGGTCAGGCCAGGTATGATGTATGATTGGTTGTTTATTCCTTCCAAGGTAGATGGCTGTGCTGCCCTGAAAGCAAGACCTCATTACTTGGAACATATGAGAGAGGTCTGGAGTGGTGGGAGATAAAGGGACAAACACACACACACACACAGGTAGAGAAGAAAACTGCAAAATGCTGGCCAGGTAGAGAGAGAGCAGATGAAAACACAAGTCAGAAGCCAAAATTGGTGGAAAAATGAGAAAAAGAGTTGAAATGTGAAGTCAGAGCAAAAAAAAAAAAAAACATGACAGACTTAACAGCTTAACCATCATGGTTGTGTATTTGGGTGGAAAAGTCAAAGAAAAAAGTAGAAGATAAGGTTGAAAACTCCAACTTTGTTCCTCTGATGTTAGATGAAAGCAGAGGAGAAGGAAAAAGGAAGATGGGGGAAAGATGAGGAACAAAGACTGATGAAGAGAGATGAATAGAATGAGCAGTCCTGAACAGAAACGGCGCTAATGATACCGCATTCAGTGTCACAACTGGATAAAAAAAAACAAGCACACCAAAACAAAGCAGAAGCCCTGAACTTCAAAACAATTTAATTGGATGCTACAAGAGTGTGGGTGTTTGGGTTTACATGCTGTGATCCAGCCGCCTCTCAATGGTGCCCCCAATAGCATCTCAATTTATGCCTTTTATAACAAAACAAAATCCAGAGCTGGAGACATGATGTTGATTTCAGCCAAACCTTTGAAGCATAAATAAATATACACTTTAGATTAATAGTGATGACCCTACCGGTTTCTTTACAGTGTAAAGCTGTGGGTCCAGCATATGACCATCATAATGTTGGTTTCCTGGAGCGGCCCTGTGATACTGGAGAGAAAACGGGAGTTGGCAAACAGAAACTATCAAAACTTAACAGTCTCAACCAAGGCACAACCACATGTTTTAAAATATAAAGCCAAATCAAAAGTGAGAAAAGCTGCAGTTCCCTGAGTGTCCACTTGAGGCTGTCTCCAAAATCCCAGAAAACCGCATTAACACCAATGTGAATATGTTTATCTTTACAAAGATAAACATGTTAACAGCAGTCTTCATTTATTATGTTAAAAAAAAAAAAAAAAAACATCTATCACATACGTTTTTCTTTTGTTCATGAGATGATAAAACAATAATGTTTAAGGTGTACTGTTGGGCTTCAAAAATCCATCATATCTTTCCCAAAATTACTCAAAATACAACCATTCTTGTAACAGTTTGAGGTAGTTCAGGAGTGCAGCTGTAATTTTTTCACTTATCTAAGCAAAACTGCCCCACAGTCCTCTCTGCCTTGGTGTCTCTCTTATTTTTTGTTATACAAACTTTGACCACACCAGGTTGATATTTGACATTCCTCATTTTTCAGTGTCCAAACCCTGTTTATGCTAGTCTGAAGACCCACAAACATCTATATGGTAGGATCTTCCATTGTCCTGTTCAACTCTTGATCATCAAAGGTGAAGATGCACCTTGGAGCCATCCAGCACACTTGTCCAGGGGCGTTTCTTGGATGCACTCATTGATGACTCAAAACAAATTGAAAATAACATTGTGTGTTGTTGTGCTCACACAGTGCGAGTAGAAATCATTAGTGGTGCATTGATAATAATGCTAATGAAATTCAGGGCATAAGGGGCTGAGTTTTCGGGTTCCGATAGCCGTGGTTGCTTTAGAGTGTTTTGGTTTTAACTTGGAGTATTATTCCTCCGTACCACATTGATGGATCAGCAGGCACCAGCATTGTATTCTTGCAAAGCATAACTAAATCATCAAACTAAGGTAAGGAATCTTGATTTTTCACAGGTTATAGCTCCAAGAGAGTGAAACAATGCATATTTAAAAACAACTTAAATAACAATTTCTAGTTAAACTAATTTGAAGTCATAGAAAACAATTTTATTGATTAAAATTAAATTAAAATGTTGTGACTTTTCATCAACTCTAACTGGACTAAATGTTTTTCTTTCTCTTTTTACTAAAACTATACATTAATTAAGAAGTGCAATAAGGGCTCAAAGGTGACGGAAGCCAAAATGTGTCATAGTTTAAAGTCAAACCTGGAACCAGCAGCTAAATGAGACCTGGTTTACAGCCTGTTGTATGGAATAACCCACTTTTCTATTTGCACACACTAAATTGGCAAATTATTCAAACTCCCTCAGAGGGTATTAAGATTTTTTTTAATTTCATTGATTTACTTTTTTGCTATTAGCCATAATTTTGGTTGTGGCTGACTTGAATAACAGGCTTGAAGCCTCTTAACCTCTTGTATTTCCAATATGGCGACCCCCAACCTTGGTTTTTCCAAACTCTGAAATCCCTGAGACTATGTCCATGTTTTATAGATTCTATGGTCAACACTTGTGATTAAAGTGAACCCTTTTGTTTCCCACAGAGTAAAACAAGACAAGTCCTTTTTTAATAATCAGACCAAAGATGCTAACACTACTCTAAATCTCTGGGGAGGGAGTGGCAGGTTACTGACATACGCCATGAAACTTGAAAGAACCAGTCCTCTTGGTGCCACCATTTGCTGCAGTCTCTCCATGCACAGCCATCAACAACCCTGATTCTTATTAAAAAAAAAGGCCTGCAAATAAGTGTGTGAAAGAATCAGTGTGCCTCACTCAACAAAGTGCACTTTTCTTTTTTTTTTTACACTCTTTTTAGCATTATTTTTCAGAGCTCCAACCCTTCATTTTATGGCTTTATGGTGTCTCTTCACAGTTTTTGAAGAGTGGGAGGGAAAAGAAGGAGTACTGGAGACAAGATACAACCCAAAGATCTCTGTCGGGAATTCATCCCAGGCCAGCGGGGGTACTGAGGCTCAGAATCACTGTGGTCTCTGAGGAGTTTTTGCGCTCTCTCTCTCGTTATATATGGCCAGTGGTAAAACTAGCTTTACAGTATTTCTATCAGACAGTCTTGGCTGCTGAATTGGTGGAGGCACTTTGCTAGATTTGAACATTTCTGCTTCTAATTAAGCCCTAAGATAGTAGACCGGGAAAGTTTTTTTTTTTTTTTTTTTTTTTTTTTCAGATCAGAGCTCTGTGGGGGATCCTTTGAGAAATCTACAGTTGAATACATCATCCTCAGAATCAAAGATAGGTATTTGTAGCATTAAGATGAATAGTGCGAGTCTGCCATATAGCCCTATGGTGATGTATGCTGTGTGTCTTGTGAAGATGTAAAAGTACAATACAACTAGATATGACGATGTTTTGATCACTGTGTTAAAGTGAAGTGTTCAGAAGCTTTGATATTCCATGTCTATGCTGTGGGAAAAAGCTGATGTCTTCAAGTATCCTAGCAAACCGGGTTTATTGTGTGTGCATGTTTCTTAGTATTCCTTTATGGTATTGCGTGCTGTTTTTCTGTCGTTGATCTCTTTTTTTGAATGCTTGAATCAAATCAGGTTATGAATATATGCTTCTCTAGATGATGAACCGGTCGGGTCGTCAGTAATACTCCCTTTAACACTGTCAGCGAAAAAGTGCCAACTTGGATTGTGTGAACTCAGGGTTTCAGGTAGTGACTTCCATCCACCAGTGGACTCCTAAAAAACAAAAATGAAAACAGGAGAATTGTTAAAGACCAAAATGTGTCACCCTTTAACATAAAACAGCAATGTGCCAAAAGTCCCCCAGTTTTCAGTCACAGACTGTATCATTAACTTTTTTTTTCTTTCTTTTTTTTTTTTTAAATTTAATTTACACATGCGATTTAGTATCTCGCACTTGCATTTACTATCTAGCACGTGCAATTTAGTATCTCGCATGTGTGATTTAGTATCTCATAGGTGTGCTTTATTTGTATCTTAGGCTCGTGTCTTTGAAAATAATCTTCCTGGCACCACATTTGTAAGAGAAGACGGACGGTTTCATGGACAGATAGCATATTATCAACATTTTCTTTCATTTAAGTATTACTCACAAAGAGATACTTTATAGCTTAGCCACCTTTGGTAATGTTTTGAATAGAAGACACCTCATCAGCATCCTTAAAGCACAGCGACATTGCTGTCAGCCATATTCAGACTTGCAAGAAGTGATTTGGTTTATTAACAAACAGTTAAATCACACCTGCGATATAATGAAACTTCCAATAATATCAAATAAAATAAATGACTGAATTAAGACCACTAAAGCTGTGCCCACCCACTGCTCTTATTTGTCAATCAGTTTGTCAATTTGTTAATGCTGTCATATAACAGTTTTGGATTTGTATATAACAGTTTTGACTTTGATTTCACAGACATAAGAAAACAGTTTGCCTTTTCCTCATAGGCTCTATTGTCATATATCTAGTTTGAGACGTTATGAAGGCACTGGTCTTTCTGACATCATTTAAAGAGTATAGTTTAGACTTCTTTTTCATCATCTTTTTTGATAACATTTTTATTTTTTTCAGTTTCATTCATTCAAGTTTTCTGTGTAGCCTACAGTTTTCAATTTAACTATTTTCAATGTCAGCTAGAATATGTAAAAACAGGAAAGTAAGTTTACACAAGTTCATGTCTTTCAATCAGTCAATATTATCTATGCTGTCCGAGTTTTGAAAACATGTTGGTTACAATGTGGCTATTTTTCCAGCTCTAGCAGAGGAAGGTCACGACCCTCATTCTCCAAGGGTTTTTGTTTTTCACTTTTGAGAATGCATTTATTCACATTCTAGCCAAGGGGTGAGGTAAGGATATTGATTTCACTTTTGACATATCTGTGAATAAAATATAAAAACACACCCAGTAGTGGCTTTGCCTGGCATAGCATGAAGACTGAGTATTTGGGGGGGAAAAGATAGCCTGATTTGTCTAGAAGGAATCAAATCTAGTTGGTGAGCATTATCTTTCTGAGTTTTCAGAAGTGGAACCAATCTTTCTCTGAAACCATAAGAACAAACCTTCCTTTGACCTTAAGTGATGACTGGATGAGACATTGTTGTTACAGCAGATGCACAGATTCTCAAGGATGCAGAAGACAGCTTTATCCCAGAGAACGACTAAAACCTGAGTTGAGAGGGCTTTTATTTCCTCTGCTATTTAGAGTATGCGTTTGCAGTACATTGCAGGGATGTGCAGCAGTAATCCTACTTGTAAGTTTTTTTGTTTTTGTTTTTTCTTTTAAACTAACCAGAAAGTATGGAAAATTGTCTGAATCCTTCTTTGGCCATGACCGCCAACACAAGCAAGAAAATGAAGTAACGTTAAAGAGTGTTTCAGTGTTTTGTATTGTAATTAGTTTTATGCAGAATAAGTACCACTCCAAATGAGAACAATAACAGCACTATTCTATACTCTTAATCAGTAGTTAGTGCTTGGCTTTGTAACCAGCGGAATGATTGACATGACCAAGTGCCAATGACAATCAGAGGGGCACATTGGATGGCTCATCAGCTTGCAGCATTTGTTCAGTTCCCTCTCTTCATTGCCCGGGTCAAACTCTTATAGGGTTGTCTCTGGCTCAGGAGCAGGTGGGCAGTAGGAACCTAACACACGTGGCCCATTTTCTGGACACATCTGTGTGTAGTGGCTCTTGATGCTCTGACTTCAGCCTCGGTCCACTCCATGTAAAGCTCCCTCAAGTTCTTAAATCATCTTTGTTTGGCAGTTCTCTCAAAGCAGCGCTTATCCCTGTTTTGCTCGGTCACCTTTTCCTCCCTCACTTCCTCCTTCCAGTCATCTTTCCATGAATCTGCTTCTACACAGCACTCTGTTAACAGCCAGCTATTTCAGCAATGGCCTTCTGTGGCCAATTTTTTTTGAGCTGTTCCTCTCAGTGGATTTTCATCTATTTTGTTGATTTGTTCTCCAAAACCTGTCTGCTGTCTGTCTGGTCTATTTCTTTTTTAAAGACATTCCCATGCTAAGTTCTCCACCCACTCCAGTGTTATACAACAAATAATATAACTCAGCCTTGCAACTAAGATAAAAAGGACTTTCTTGCAGTCAGACAGCAAAGACGCACAAAAACTCTTTCTAGGCTCAGATTATGAACCATAATTGGATTGCATAATAATCCGCTCAAGTGATTTTCTGGATTACGCCATACTGAAAGAGTGAGGGGCAGGAATATAAAGCGCTGGTGCTATCTTGCCTGATAAATATGATTTGTCTGATGGGTTGTGATTAAATGATTACAATAGCTCAGTGCCTCACCTAAATTGACATGTCACTGCTTCATTACTCATTCTGAATTTGTTTTCTTTGCGGCTTCACAGAAAGAAACATCAAAGCTGTAAACAGTTTGATGTAATAATGCCAATTTATCAAGATTTCAGACGGCCCTTTCATCCCTCATTGTTATGAAGAGCAGACAAACTGACATCCTGAGCTAGTTTATGACTTTGTCATGGTACGATGAATTCTTTCATGGGGTGAATTTCCTCAAAACGCAGCATATGAAAATAAATTTCCTGCTCCATCTCGTCTATATCTAACAGGTGTTCATAACAAGACGCTTCTGTTGACAGCCAATTCTGCTCCGAGATAGATATGGTGCAGTTTACAACAAGGTGCAGTGTTTGTTTTAGCAACAAAGAATAGTGTTTTGATGGGGAAAATGATCATCTCATTGTAAATGTGTTTTATTACCTTTTTTGGCAGCTTTAAGACAATCTTGTTAGCACATCAGATGTTCAGCTGCTACACATTGAGGAACGGTGATTCACTGTGTCGAAATCCAGACATTGCAGACTATTAAATTCCAGTTAAACTTACTCGGTGCAAACTACAACAATCAACTTCAATTTACAAGATTCGTTTGCTGACAAGGTGGTGATTTTATGAAATTAAATATACATTCAAGCTTGGGTTAAGTGTGAAAACTCAGTCTATATTGGCAGATGATTTTGCACTGGTTGAAAAATTACACTGCCCAACAAAAATAACAGTCACCACCTGAATTTAAAAGCAAATGTGTATGAGCCTTCTATTTGACAATTACTGCATGGGCGATTATCTTTCAGCTGGCACCAAGTTATTTAACTCCAGCTGATGCAATGAGTAACTTCTCATTTCATAAACAATCATGTCAAAAGACACATCCTGTGGTCGTGGAAAAGATAAGTCTCTTTAAGAAGGTCTAATCATTTGCATGCATGAGAAAACATCTAAGGAGATTGTAGAAACTACTAAAATTGTGTTAAGAACTGTCCAACGCATTATCAAAAACTGGAATGATAGTGGAGAACCATTGTCTAACAGGGAGAAATGTGGTTGGAAAACAATCCCAAATGGTAGTGATTGGAGATCAGTTAAAACATTTGGCCAAATCAATTCAAAGAAAAACAACAGTAGAACTCAGGGGTTTGTTTAATAGTGAAAAGAAAGAGCATTTCATGTGAGGGGAACTGAAGGGATTGGGACTGAACAGCTGTGTAACCTTAAGAAAACCACTAATCAGTAAGGCCAACTGGAAAAAAAAGGCTTTAGTTTGCTAGGCAGCATAAAGATTGAACTCTGGAGGAATGGGAGAAGGTCATGTAGTCTGACGAGTCCAGAATTACCGTCTTCCAGAGTGATGGGCACGTCAGGGTAGGAAGAGAGGCAGGTGAAGTAATGCGCCCATCATGCCTTGTGTCGTCCATACAGGCCTATGGGGGCAGTGCTATGATCTGGGGTTGCTGCAGTCGGTCAGGTCTAGGTTCAGTAACATTAAGTGCCCAAAGAATGAGGTCAGCTGACAACCTGAATAGACTGAATGCTCAGGTTATTCCATCAATGGATTTTTTCTTCCCTAATGTCTCAAGCATTTACTGAAATGACAATGCCAGGATTCATCTGGTTTAAATTGTTAAAGAGTGGTTCAGAGAGCATGAGATATCATTTTCACACATTGATTGGCCACTACAGAGTCCAGACCTCAACCCAATTGAGAATCTTTGGGATGTGCTTGAGAGAGCTTTGTGCAGTGGTTAGATTCCCCCATCATCAATACAAGATCTTGTCGAAAAAATAACGCAACACTGGATGGAAATAAATCTTGTGACATTGCAGAAACTTATCGAAACAATGCCACAGAGAACTCATGCTGTAATATAAAGGCGGACCAACAAAATATTACAGTGTGTGACCTTTTTTTTTTCTTTTTGGTCGCGCCTTTTTTTTAAGCCAGGCAGTTGTAACTCAATTAAGTGATTGAAAAATTGCAAATCACCTCATCTTTGGCACAGCAGACTTGAAGCCTCATTCAGTAAAAGATTATGCAGGTTATGCACCTGCTAATCTTGTGCAAATGAAACAAGGAATCACTGTCAAGTACACAGAAAGTGTAAGTCTCATTGCAAATCACAGGTGCAAATAGTTGAGCACAGTTAGAGTACATTTATTCTGCCTGCTTAGACTTGGTTGTAATTGTACTGCTGTATTATGCTCAAACTGTCCAGGAATCATGACCTCCAAAAACTCCAGCCTGAAGGCTGACATCAAGCTCTCCATCATGCATACTCGCTCCGATGGGCACTCTCCTTGCTGCACACATAAACAGACAAACACACTCAAATGCAACCTTAAGCATCACTGTTTATTTTATTTTTTATTATCTTGGTTATAATCAAGGGTTAAATCAGCTTAGCCTGTAGCTCAACCTTTGTTACGTTTTCTTAATGATAAGTTTTAAGCTTAACCCAAGAGCAGACAGGAGGCAAAACAAGTTCTGAATGGTTTATTTGCAATAATGGTGAAGGGTGGGGGGGTGGAATCCAAAGTCTGGGGTGCGATGAAGCTCTAAGGTAAGGTGAGGATTAGTGGTGAATGAGTTGGCTAAGAAGGTAGGTGAGTGATCCAATGTGAGAATTGTGGCAGCGTGGCAGAGATTGTAGCTTGGCTCGAGAGGCTTGTGGAGGCACTGGAAAGAAAGGAGGAGAGCAATAGGTAGAGGACAATTACTAGAGATCATACAAACTTGCGATACTTGCAAGTTGTAGGCCTGGATACCACAGAGGAGCTGGAATCATGTGGTGCTGAGGAGTGTCTCTGCAGCTCTTAAGTGCAGACAGTGGTTAGTGTGATCAGGGGCAGGTGCAAAAGTGCCAGAGGAGCCATACCAAGAGAGGAGTCCCCCCGATCTCTGTGGGGAGAAGGGGGAGACTCCACACAACACAAAATGTCTCCTAAATTAAAAAAAAATGAATGAACAATTGCAAATCCCCACAACCCCTGCACATCAAAGTTCTGCCATTACGCATGTTTCTTTAAAAAAATAAAAATAATCTTAAAAAGCTGCTTTTGTCACATCTGTCATGAAAACTTTGGGTACAGTTTCAGCTCTTTCTACCTTTATTCAAATGATGAGTCCAATTCCATTCCCACATAAAGATTTTTTTTAATTAACTATTGATTCTTATTCCATTATTTCTTGAGAGTAAAATAACAAACACTGAAAAAACAAATATGAGTCTGCTTTTTTGTGATATGTGAGCAGCAGGCATTACCTCTTCCCCTTGAAGAGAGTTACAGAAGAGGTATCACTCAGAAATTAATTTGTCAAATGTCAACCACTTAACTTGGCACTAACTGGGCTTCTGGTTAGTTTTTGGTTGTTTTGGGGGAGTTACAGGATTTACAGTTGCCCTTTTGACCACAAATCTCAGACATAAACTTATTTTGATCATGTTGGACTAAAGCTAAGCTCATCATCAGTTGAAACTCACAGTCAAGCAGGTAGACATGCTTATTAAAGCCAAAGTGTGTGTGTGTGTGTGTGTGTATGTATTTGTGTGTGTGTGTGTGTGTGTGTGTGTGTGTGTGTGTGTGTGTGTGTGTGTGTGTGTGTGTGTGTGTGTATGTATTTGTGTGTGTAAACCGCCAATATGGTATAGCAGAGAACCATTAATAATTTGTTTTCATGGAGTAATAGAAATGGATTAAATTTAGATTTTATATTATGACAATGCTAGAAACCCTCGTATTGTTGTGCAGTACAGCATTTTGTGTTGCAACAGAGCAGAATCAAATCAAACCATGCAACAATTAATGCATATAAATTGCATCATTTAGTGGTAATATTGAGAAATGAATCAGTGTGAGTGCCTTGAATTCAAACCATTAGTGTTGAAACCAAGACCGATAGAATGAAGAATATCTTCTAAGATCATGGTACATTTCCCCCTCTGCTCTCGTGGTGATTTGTTACGGTGTGAAAATGACATCCTGAGGATGATCTTGTACATGCAGTGACTTTTTTCTCTTGTCAGCCCACAGCTGTTCACAAACCATCTATTGTAGATTCAAACCAAATAATGCCTGAACCTGGCATATACAACCTTTTTAAACGACTGAAGGTTGTTCTCCTTTGTGACTTGAGCACCATTACCTTGTTATCCAACTCCATAAAGAGCTTGTTTTCAGCTTGTTAGAAAGACATTTCACCTAAATGATCATTCCCCATACAGGCTCTTTCTAAAGACTGCGCATCCATGAAGAAAGAGAGGGCACATATAAGATACATCAGATGGAATAAGAGAGGAAAATAAAGCTTTCAGGAGAAAATAGGCATGTTTGAAATATGACAAAGCTTCACACAGTTTAGATATAATAGCTTCAGTTGTATTGCGGGAACACGAAATAACGAAACACTCAAAACACTTCAACAACTACATTTGAATAAGATATATAAAAGCAAAAATAAGGGAAATAAAACAGGGATATTTGAAGAAAAGGGTAGGGAAAAAAAGTACGAGATGGAAAAATGCACAAAAGTGGAAATAACAAAACTGTATTTTAGAAAGCAATCTATGAGAATGAAAGTGAGAAGAAGAGGCGGGCTGCCACTAATCCCAACAGAAAAACACTCCGATTAGACTTATCCTCTCCTCTGAGGATTAGAGCTTTGATAAAACCTTCAACCTAAACCCAAATCAATTTAGTCAGGGTGTAACATTCACAAGCAGTATCTTCCTCTTTTTTCCCCATGGAGAGAAGCTCTGTGAAATGAGCAGACTGTTTATTTTGTCTTATTTCATCCCGTCGTTTAGAGTCTCTGCTCTCAGAAGCTTCTCAAATAGAACCTGATGTCCAAACAGAAGCAATATTTCTGCATCATGCATCTCTCAAACATGAAATATGAAAAATCTATCATGTAGACTACATTAAACAAGGGCGCTGACGCATCCTCAACGGTATTAGGCCTCTGTTGCTCTGTTGTGACATGTAGCAAAACCCTGGTTGCAAAAGGAGGCTCTTAAATAGCTGGAGGGCCCTCGAGTGTGGTGAAACACAGAAGACTGTGATCAAAACAAGCGAGAGGACCTGCAGTGACCTCTCCATAAATGATTCATACAAGGACCGAGTGTTTGTCAGGCCCTTAATCACAGGAAAAAAAGGTCAAGATTTACAGAGTTTGGACAAAGTTTGTGGTTACTACTGGTCTCCTCTAGCCCTGAAGACATTGAAAGTTTGGCTGTACAGTTTATCACTTGAGTTTTAATAGTTTTATCAGGGTCTGTAGGGGTCTTGATTTAATGCAGACTGCTCAGGTTTAATGCATAAGCCATGTCACAACCACTTCAAACTGCAGTACTTACATATTCATACACAATTGTTGGCTTTTTGACTTTTGGTGACGTCCTTTAAGATTTCTTACTGAACGTTGATTCCTTTTGTTGTTTGATTTTTGAGCTTTCTAAAGAATGAAAACTGGATGATTGATTAAAAGAACAAATGTCTTCTTCATGTGAGGTTCACTTACAAGCTGATGCTGTAATTTGTAGTACAAAGGAATCTTCAAATCGATATTGGAAATTGCAAGAAACTACTGATAAGACTTGAAACCAGGCATAGTGTGTGATGACAATTTGTGTTTTATTTAGGTTGAAGTCAGCACCCATCTGGCAGTTTTGAATGAATTATGGCCGATTAATTCTGTAGCAAAACTGACCTCTATCAATAATTTGGTCTGAAAGCCACACAAGCAGCAGTCAATCACACAGTGCCGTACATCAGAGCTTATTTTGCATTATCTCTCTGTCAATGAATCCTCAAAGTTTCTGTCAGTTTATTTATTTTTTTTAACTTTTGTACAAATAAAAAGAAGGTTTAAATGCTACAACAGTTAAAAGACAGCAGTTGTAGTCATCTATCCAAAGCAAAGTCCAGTTGACCTTGAAGGTAAACAGGGGTGTCTGTTGATGTCCATTAGACCAGTGGTTCTCAAGTCCAGTCCTCTAGGCCCACTGTCCTGCATGTTTTGGATGTTTCCCTGCTCCAACACACCTGATTCAAATGATCAGCTCGTTATTAAGCCGTTACAGAGCTTGATAACGAGCTGATGATTTGAATCAGGTGTGTCTGGACTTGAGAACCACTGCATTAGACAAACATACACATTAGCAGTCAGGCACACTAGACCGACACAGACCCTTTTAATGAAAACAGAATAGCATGGATAAGTCTACCGAATAATGTTGTGTTGCATTTATTTGCTAATACTGGGCTGTTTTTACAAAGTATGATAGAGGAAACAAACAAAAATAAAAAAAACACCTCTTGCCTTCTCAACAATTATGATGTAATTGCTCTAACACAATTCACACTAGAAGTCCGTCAGTGATCACTGATAACATCAATATCTGTAATGATAATGTATTACAGAAAATGGAGTTGTATACAGGCTATGCCAGGCTAATCTAGCATGCAACCACTGGACTGTAGTAACCAGCACAGGCTTGTCGCCCCTAACCCAGCAGGGACTGACGGCTCAGAGTGATAGCTCTGCCAGAGTCAGCCACACTTATCTTTTTAGTACAGCGAGTGCCTAAAAAAAGTCTTCCTTTATTTTATATATTTATTGTTTTTTCTCAGAGGGATTTATATTTCATTTGCAATTCATAGTAGCCTGAACGCAAGTCAAAAGAGTTGGCACACATTATGTAAAGTTCCTCAGCATCGGACCTCTTGTGAGTTGAAAATTAGTTTTTTTTTTTTTTTTCATATTTGATCCTATCAACTTTCTTTAAGTCATTCCGAGCTGACCCACAGTAAAACTTTGTTTATACCCTGCAGTGAGATACACCCTAAAGCAATCCACCTTGACCGGTGCTGTACAGCCGCATCAATGTGTGAATAAGTATGTGTGTGTGTGCCCCTTTCACAAGAAATCAGCCGAGAAAAACTCATTTCTCCTGCTGTGGCACAGTACTGGGAGTTTGAGCGTAGACTTAACTGTGCTTGGCAAGCAGAACACACAGTGAAGCGCAAGTCCTGAGAGACCCGGCAGCTAAAGCTAATCACTGCAAAGACATGACACACATCTGCCTGCGCCCACACAAATTTGCACATGCAAATGCAGTCCGGCACGTACATTCTGGCATACACAGGCTTTAGTACACACTATTAACAGAAAGAGATGCAGGAGAACGAAGGAATGTACTTCTGACCAAATTGGATTAAGAGTGTCATCTAATATGGAACAAGCGTGAGAGGGTTCCCTTGAAACTTGCAGTAAGAGGGATAGCGGCATTGAAAAATGAGCAGCATGCTTTTTGGTTAGGAGACAATCAGATTCATCACGGTTGGGAGGACAAGAGGGAGACAGGGGAGGAGAGTGGAGAGAGGTCTCTACATCCAGGGAGATGATCCCCCTTATGAGCGCCCATCCGATTACAATCAGAGCCCATGCCTCGGTACATGCAGACAGCCTAAAAATATACGTACTGAAGATACATTGAACCACTTTGTCTCTATTCTTCTCACTCCTGCTGGCTTCGTGATATTCTTTTTGCTTCCCTTCTCTCCTTTCCCCTCTTTTATTTTTAACAATTTCCTCCCTCAGCTCTGATTATACTTTTGTGAATCTGCTGGGCAAGCGTTCTCTGCTGGCCCATTCCTGTCTAATATATTCCCCATCTGTTCATGCAGGTCCATTTGATACCGTCTGTCCCTGGGGTGGGCAGAACCTCAGGGGCAGCTGGGGGGCTGCAACGCCCATTGGCATATCCATTATACTGCCCAAGGCATGCCCATGGTAGGGAAAAGCCAAGCGTCCTTCACCATCCTTCATCTGGTGCGGTGCATTAACACCAACAATAGCAATGAGCACCAACTATGACAGGCTTAAGATCTAACCAAAATACACATCAGCCTGTGTCACGCACAAGAGGAAAACGTTTATCTCTTGTGTTGAAATATGGTGTCAGAACCCATCAGCTGTTGTCTGATATGATGTGGCCTCTGGCCAATGTTTGGGAGCTCTCAATTCTGCAATAGATGAGTCCATGGAAACCGTATTCTTACCAGCTAAACTGCGAAAACAGACTAACACGGTGCTTTTGCCAGAAGTATTATCACTAGATGCAGAAAATAACTGTAGGACATGTGTATCCCTCTCTGTAACTTCCATGTTAGCTTTTTATATTTTACCCAACCAGTCCTGGAAGACTGTGAAAGCTCATTCTTTGTTGTGTCTTGTGGTTTTTTTGAGTCTGTTTTCTTCAATTTTCTGAGATGTCCCTTTCACTGGTTTCATGATCTTTACTCTGCTGGTGACCAAACAGCTATTAGCTACTATTCTTACCTTAACGACTGTCCAAAACCAATATGTTACATTGCTAACAGAATAAGGCAAAGTCATATATGTGCAGTTCTCCTTCTTGCTAATTCATCTTATGTGACCTGCGATTTGGTTGTCCTTAGCATCACTTTTGCTAATTAAAGTTAATGACCTTAAAACTATGTTTTTGACCAATCAGAATCAAGTATTCACCACAAGCCAGATACCAGCAAGAAAACCGTGTAAGAATGGGCAATGATACAAGCTAGCCCGCTGAAGATGAAAGTATGAGAATCAGCTCACCTTGCTTTAAATTGCAGTTTAATGAAATACAAAAAATTAAAAAATTCAAGATGAAGAGAGACTTGTTTCCAGGGCTGGAAAGAAGAATCTGGGTTAGCTCACCTGCATGCCGAACTGTCAAGTCTGCCAGCCATGTTTACTCCGAAGAGGCGTTGCAGTGAACGGTTTTAACTATTCATTTTAACTAACGTCAGCCTCAGGGCGGGTCTTGAATATGTAGAACTGGCTCCTTCTTGGAACCTGGTCCTGCATGTTTTTATTAAAATAAGCTCCACTTGCAATGATATGAAACTGTGCCCACTCTAAATCAGTAATACAAGTGGCAAACCTGTTGGCAGCGTTTACTATGTCACAATACGGTTCAAATAGTGCAAGGTTAACTGTGTTACACGGGATGGGACCTGTGGGGTCACCGGTAATGTGGGTGATTGAGTATATAGATTCAAGGACCAGAAGTGTGTTGGCACAATACTGTCAACCTGTTAAAAGGTAGTTGTGTGTGTGTGTGTGTGTGTGTGTGTGTGTGTGTGTGTGATAGAGAGTGTGCGTGGGGGGGTACAGACATGCTGTAAAGAGATGTTGAGGAGCTTGTTCCATCATGCTGATGAGCTCAGTAATGCAATGTAGTTGCGATTCCCAGACAGAAGTGAGGACGCTTTACACAGCATCATCTCCATTATCGGTGTATACATTAACCTTGAGTGCAGTTGCAGACAGGAGAAATGTTCCAAACACACGCACACGCACACACACACACACACACACATACACACACACACACACACACACACTGAAATACATCAGCAAAAATCTATGCATGCATTCATATGGAGTTTTTGCATTATGTAAATTGCACAAAGTCCTCTTCACTGTGGCAGCACAGTTATATACAGCTTTGTATTTTACAGCCAAGTGCACTGTGCTATATGAACCTGCAGGATGAAGTGTGCAAGTGCACCCTTAAAGACACGCAAGGCCATAGTTCAGTTCACTCAGACTGAATTAATTGGATTCTTGTCTGAAGTCCTTGGTTTTGTAACACAAGCAAAATACATAATAGAAACCCCGCTCTTGTCGGACTCATGCTAACCTTTTTCTTGTTATGATAACACACAACTGGAGTGCATACACACTAGGCCTGCACAATATATCGTTTGAGCATCGTCATCGCGATGTACGTGTGTGCAATGGCCACATTGCAGAGCCTGCGATGTCGGAGGTAAATGAACTCAGTTAATTTCAAGGGTAACTGACTGAGAGACACTGCATGTGACTCTGCATGTGCTGTGCAGCGATCCACCAATCACCTTCGTTCTTTACTCAGTTGCCAATCAGACTACCCTGCCAGCTCTCAATCAAAATCAGAGAGGAGGAAACCCACCCCTGCACATGTTCTGCACATGGAGTGAGAGTCACTGGCGCTACGGAGTTGAGCAGAGAAACGCGTGTCCGCTGAGAATTACTTTTGGAACATTCTTCATCACTGTTTAGCCCAACAAATAAGAACTGTATGGGTTTTAAATTGTACATTTCCGTGGACCACTCTACTATAAGCAGTGCGGATTTTGTGAGGTGCATGCAATTCTCGGAGGACATGCGTTTCTCGGCACAACACCGGTAACTCGAACGATCGCAAACTGAGCAACAAACAGAGAAAACCACAGAAGATGAAGACTTGTTGCCAAAAAGAAAAGGAAAGTCAGTTATCTGGAATTATTTCGGTTACAAGATGGATGATGTCGACCAAAACACGTTCTGTGTTCATCTGTTGCCACAATAACGTCCCAGAACAATAAAAGCTAAAATATCTCTGAGACTAACATTCACAAAAAGAGGTAAGATCAGAGCAGGTTAACTGTCCTCAAGAGTTCAGCGGTACAGCATAACATTAAGTGCTATTCAGGTCATCTTGTTTGTAGGTAGAGCTTGGCCAAGTCCATCACTGACTGCAGCGGATGGACGCAGCTTAAGGAGGAACATTTATGATGATTTCTTTATCATTTCCTTGAAGAAATAATTATCATATTAATCATTTTGCACTGCGGACACAGTAGTTCTTCTGCCTTAGCGTCTCAGTCTGATTGCATTTCCATGAAGAAATGATCATAAATGTTCATCCTTGAGCTCCGTCGACCCGCAGCAGTCAGTTTGGACTCGCCCGAGGTCTCCATACAAACAAGCTGCTGCTGTAAGTGAGTAGGTGAGTTGTGTTTAGTCTCTTTGCTAAAGAAATGAGGCAAAGCTAAAAAGATGTTTGGTGGCTAGTGCTATGGCTGGTACCCTATATGTATTGGTGATTCTGTTCTGAGCGTTATTTGTGGCTATAGAGTGGCTTTTTGTTTAAGCGCATGGCTATTGAGACCGCTGTGTATTGCTATCATGTGGTGGTTACTAAAGTTGATATAAAAAAGAAGCAAGTGGTCGGCAAAACATTCACCTCTTGACGGGGTGTCTGTCTGTTAAGGTGTGTTTGACCCTAAATTAATATCCCTTTAAGGGTGTGTTAGGAGTTAATAAAACCCTACCACAACATGCAAAGCAGTCCTCTCCAGCTTGGTATCCAGTTCCTTTAAGACACACAGTTCTGTGAGGGCTGGGTTGCTTAGAAAAGACAGATGTAACTACATCAGAATCCCATCCTCATTTTTGATCATTCAGGGCAGACAGCACAACTGCAGACAAGAATGCTGCTGCTGTTTAAGCTGAAGAAGTGGAACCAGAAGCATCCCTTAGAGAGAGATATTGCATAATGAGCCGATCCCTCAGTCAAGATCCTCTTCTGTCAAGGACAGACACAGAGAGCCTGCTAATGCTCCTCTGAGCATATGTGTGTGTCTGTATGTGGGCAGAAGAATGCATCATAGACCAGAGTTAATCACACTTATGATGCCATATTGATCGAATTGTATTCAGTGTAGATTGAGGGCTTGTGGAAGCTTCAGCACTCATTTAAGAACAGAGTAAACACAGCAAATGAGCCACTGTCAGGTCTTTAGTGAGAGCATCTAAGTGGTTGTGAATTCCTGCCGAATCAGATAAGGTGTTCCTCAGCTTGCCACAGAGAGTATGTGGTTTGACGCCGACATAAACCGATGCAAACGAGGGCTTTGACAGATTGTAACCGATGGCAACCACAGCAAGCAGAGCACTATTGCAATTAAGGCCTGTGGAGGTCCCCTGGGAAACACACACGCACACACACTCTCAAGTCTTTACCCAATTTAGTGCCTGCAAACACACTTAAAAACAACCAAGAAGATAGAACAAGACTTGTGTGAGCTGGGAAATAATAGCCGATTTATTTCTGTTCTGTAGGAAAGAAAAGTGATGTGCTTAATGCGCACAGATACACATACAGGTGAACCTGCAGGCACAGGAGCTGAAAACATGTTTTCATTTTGAGGTTTGTTGCTAAAGCAGCATAACTCGTGATTGGTTTCCTGTGATGGAGAGTTGAAGGAGGGGTAAAGAGAGGCTTATATCTGAACTATAAACAACCTTTTATTTCACAGAGAGACTGCATGTGTTCTACGAAAAATTACTAAGAGGATAACGTGTTTGTGCACATAAGATCCAGCAACTGTAGCTGATGGCCGTATAACAACCTCCGTTTTTTAAGCGGTAAGTTAAGGGGATATGGACAGCGCTTGCAAAAAGTTGCCCTTTATAGCCTCAGCTTTTCAACTGTGAAATTCACCTGAAGTCTGTGTGAGTGGAATTTAAACAGCTATCCCTCCACTTTGTTTTCTTAAGCACGTCTTAATTTATTGGCCATGAGGCATTGTGGCTGACATTTTGATAAATACCACCCTGATTATTATTTTTATTACAGAAAATGGATTACATATGTGACTTGGCAGGAGCTTTTATCCAAAGTGTTTTACATCTCACTGAATGCACCAATTGGAAGTATAACTAGCTCCTAGTGAAGTGCCAGTAATATATTAAGGTAACTCTGATACTTGCAACTCAACTCTTTTTTCTTCCCTTTTATCAGACTTGAAATTCGGTGCATAAGCAGCCCAGCTAAGAAACTCTTAGGCAGTTACTCTGACTGTGCTTCTCCAGAAATTCAAAGCTCTAGCCTTTTTTAAAGGTCTAACAATCTCAGATATGACCCTCAAAATTTATTATTAAAAGAGACTTTTATTTTGACATTGAAGCTAACAAAAGCGGGTTTGGGATTTTTCAACAACATATTTTGAAGTTGTAACTATGTTGGTTATTGTTGCCCGCTGATTACATGATCCTAAATGTAATGATGGCTAATCAGCAACAGGTGACCCTTTGTAGGCTGAAAACAGATAAAGACACGAAGATTGGACTGTGGCTACAACTAGCACCAAAAGTTGCGTGTGATATACCCTCACCATCTGGGCCATCTTAAGGTCTAGTTCACTAAGCATATTGTCCTTTAAGTTGTTTGCTCTTGTGTCGCGTCCGATTGCAATGATGACATTTCAGATCTTCACTCTGCTTGACGTAGATTTACATATTGACATGGACAGGTGTTATGTATTATTTTTAGAGCACACAGTGGACATTAAAAGCTGACCCTAACATAAGGTGGGCTGCATGATCACAGACAACAACTTGGTACAACTTGGTAGCAGCGCACACCCCCCATAATAACCCTGTGTAAAAACTGTTGTTCATGACTGCGCACGACATGCTTACTTGTGCTACTTGGCTACCGTAATAACCGTGGTTCTAGTCTACATGCAACATTTTCGTTCTCATTCATGAAACGCTTAAATCAGGGACATTTCCGGGGACAGCTTTAGCCGGGAACAGGTCATCCAGTACAGGGACTGTGGTCACCTTATCCTTACAGCTACAGTCCCAGTCAGTTTGTCAACATTATGTTAAAAATGGACTAAAAACTTTTAAAACATATGCAAACTTGTCTGTCCGAAATCGCACCAATTTAAATTTATCGCTTACATCGAGCAGTCGGGGATCAATTTTCTCTCACATGTGTGCACCTAAGTTCAAATGGCCTCAGTGTTGTGTGCATGGTCCACAGTTTGCATGCCAAACTTTGACCCGTACTTTCAATTCAATGGCATAAATGAGTCAGCGCATTTGGCCTTGAGAGACAGCAGACATCACGTTTGTACTAATGGTGAAGTCTACAGTTTGTTTGAAAGGTGCAGACCTTTGCAGTTGTAGTCAGCCGTTCTCTGTTTACATACAACAAGATGGCCTTTCGCTAACCTGGTTTTTGATTGTTTTGGTGTGTGATGTAACAGGTTGACCAGGAGACAGCCCAATAGAAGCGAAGGCAGACATGATCTTACCATACATTAACTTTTACTCAGTGCTTGAATACTGGGCGAGAGAGGAGTAGCCCACTTAAACTGTCTGATCTCACTCAATCAGTTTAACTGAGCATGTAAATGTACTCACTGTGACTGAACAAGCTGTTTTCTGCATTGATGTTCATTTAAACAGGAGACAAATCTAACCTTGATGAATGCATGTAGCTCATTAAAATATGCCCACACAGGATTGTAGTTTAGACTTGGCATTTTTTCAGCAGCGTAGTTGCATTAACCTGTCGCATGTACCTCCTGAATTTAACAGTGTCTTTGAGTGTCAAGGTTTATGGTGGGCACAAAAGCTAAACAACCCACAGACTCTTAAATGTGTCAAACTGGAATAAATATGTATAAAAGACAAAGACTCATTTTCAGGGTTTTATTTGCATCATATCATATGCTAATAGACAAGCTAATCTTGTGTTACCATGCAACAAGTCATTATCCTAACTGGTTAATGATGTGTGTTTATATTGACAACACTGACAGTAGATTCTATATATGTGTCTGCTATTCATACAACATGTAAACAATGCTAAAAATGTGAGAGAAAAAAATATCTTTCTCCCTTTAAAGAATAAAACCACCGACTCTGTTTACATCTAGCCATTACCAGTCCAGGCTCGGGTGCCAAGGTATAAGGGAAGGCAATGACACGGAATTTATCCAAAGCAGGAGGAGCTGGGGTTTCAATCTCCGTGGATAATGTGATGTGGCATGGCCAGATTCAAGAGCCAATGCTATTGTAGGAAATTGCCTCATTGTACGATGAATATGTTAAAAAGAGACAATAGAGCCTGCAGAGATGCTGGTTCCCAGAGGACTTCCTGAAGGTAGCAGCTTCCTACAGCACAGCATAAATCCAACCACTGAGCATGCACTTTACATTTGTACACCCCGTGTGTTTGTTGGAGGAGAACAAGACATCAAAAGCTCTATTCAATAGCTCTGTCATGCTGTGTTGAATTCACATATAATAGGACACACAGGACCTAAAAGCACTACAACATGATTTGGGATTTGTTCTGTTGGTGTCGCTCCATGGCTCTCTCTGCTTTAGTTAATTAGAGGTGATGGGCAGATGGTTTGTGTTTCTGCAGCACATGTGAGAGAGACAGATGTTGATTTCTTAGCCTGCCAAAGCCATGCTGGACGAAAAGATGATGCACTGGACACAGCAGGAAAAAAACAAAACTAAAAAATAGGTGACTAAAGGGTGCCGAGTGGCCATCACCACCCAAACAGGATCGCAAACTTCAACAAACCGAACCGTTGACATCATTAATGCTACTTACCCTACTACTTGGTCTCTGGTGGCCCCCTACACCCTGACTGTGAAACCAGATGAGCAGCAAAAGCCAATTAAGGTGAGGCTGTAGAGTCAACATCTCCCTTTACCACCACTGTCACACTGAGTTAGGCCCTTGACACCTCAGGGTGGAGGAGGCTCAACAGTTCACTTCAGCATCTCAGAGAAAGACCCCTCTATGCCGAGTCTGACAGCCCATCATACCCACATGAGAGGAAAGAAAAGTAGATTAAAAAAACAGAGAGAGAAGTCTGCAGAGAGATGGTTAAAGAGGACAAGAAAGGCTAAGACAGGGCAAGATGCCTGTAGGGGCTAGAGCTACCAACACCAGATAGGATGTGTGCTGTACTACCCCCAACCTCCCTATTCTTGAAGAGAGAGAGAGATAAAACAGAGGAGAGATGTAAGAAAGAAGATGTGGAAAGCAGAACCAGAAAAGGAAGCCTGTTTTGGCTGGAGCTCACCCCTGCCGAGTCAGGCTGCACACTCTACCTCCCCCTACTCACATACAGAATAAAGAAGAAGACCAAGAAAGCAACGGTAGGCCAAGAAAAAGAAAAGAGAGGTGATTCTTTTGGATGAGTAATTTACAACAGGTGTTCCATAGAGTGTAATATTCCTATTTCAAATGGTTTGAAAGTTCAAATAGAGTAAATGTGAGGAGTGAAGACAACTGTGAAACCAGTTTTGATTGGAGTACTCAGTGCTGTGACCCCAACATTGGGAGAGTGGCCCCAGCAGATTCAAGAAACAACATCTGAGATGAATACTCACCAGAGTGACAGTTTTGAGTGAAGTGCACCAACATTTCAGAATCCTCTAGAGGTCGAGAGGGTTAAGATACAGTATCCTCAGTAGAAAATCTTACAGCAATACAAATGTGTATTTTCCAGCTCCTCCAAGGACAGAAGTAGGCTTGGAGTGTGTGCTGTTTCTCAAATAAGACCTCTTTTTTATTTTTATTTTTTTAGTGGGTTAGTGCAGTTGAGCTGCTCCAACCTTTCTGACAATCAAACACAGAATTATGCACATGTGGACATTAAGGGTTTTCCATCATGGGTACCTTAAGATTGGATTAGATTTTGATTGGGGAAGCTTTGATTCTCTGACAATGATTGTCAATCCGATTAGATTATTGGTGCCATGATGCTTAGATTCCCATTTTTAATGCTTTATTCCATACAAGGTTGATTCTGTCCTCATCTGTGGCTACATTTGTAAATAAATAGCCTATCAATTTACTCAGTTGCTCTAAAACTAAACTTAATAACTAAATAAGATTTTTTGAACATTTGACTTGTATTTTTTAAAAACACAAAATATTTTATTTTATTACTGTATGACTGCTATGTAAACATTTGCACTTTGACCTTCTTAACTTAAACTGGGAAGTTTGGAGACAGTCTCCAGGATGGCCGTCTGTGTGGCGGGCACAACCAGAGGAGCCTTCTCTGTTTCGGGATGAAAGTGTACAAGGTGTTGCCTCCTATTTGTGGTGTTGCTGAGTTACTTTGTTTTTGCTTTGCAAGTCGTGTAGGTCTTGTCAGTCATCTTGTTTGCTCTCTCGTAAAATTCAGAGTACTTCCACACGGTTGCAGGTCAACCCTGGTGGCAAGAGAATCATCCGCTCTTTGCAGGCTGCTGAAGCAGTTGCCATTTTGCAAAGGAACAAGTGTGCTCTGTTTGTTGTAGTCCCCCTCACTAAACAGTCCGGGCGGCGCGTGCATTAAGGTTCCGGTTACGTGTTTTTTTTTGTTCTGGCCTTGCGGCAAAGCGTCAACATTATTATTTTTATTTACTAAACATTGACATTAATCAATTCCGAATCGTCACGTGAAGCATCGCGATCCATCAACATATCGATGAAATGCACCCTCCTCAAGTGGACATACATGCATTCATAAAAGCACCTGCATGTGTGGATATCAAACAGACTGTTAAAAGTCTTTTTTTGAGGATTATACAATTCCAACACATGCATGCATTTAATTCCTCTTTCACTCACACAAACAAACAAATCGGATCAAATATTCCATGCTGTCATCTTGAATAAATACATCACAGCATTAGGAGTGTCTAATTTTGGAGTGATCAGCTCTCCAGCGGTGGTAAATAATGAAAAGCGTTGTAGAGTAGAAAGCCCAGGGCTCATTGTGTAACGTCTGCCAGTCTGGGCTGACTAACTAAATCAGTCACTGGTGTGATGTATTTGTTTACCAAATCTTTTGACAGAGAAACATTATGTAACTCAGTAGGATTGGTGTGTGTTTGTGCGTGGCTGTCTTCATGTGCGAGGCTCCAAGAACGACTGGTACGAAATAACAAAAATGATAGACGTGGCAGAGGCAAAAAAAAAAAAAAAAAACACATGAAAAAAGAAAACAAATGGGTTGCCTTTGCTGAGTCCCATTTTATCAGTATCAGGGGAAGGTGGGGACTATTCAAGCTAATGGAAGAGTATTGGCTCCAGCTCTCTTGTGACTTTGAAAGGGTTAATATAATGGACAGGTTGTGTTTAGAAAAAACTCCTGAACACACTCAGCAGACTGGAAATAATGAGACTACTGCTGGTTTGAAACCAAATACTCACAAAGAAACCTCTCTACCCCCTACGGGATTCAAAATTAAGTTTCCACAATAACAAAGTTTTGAACGTTGATACAATACGATTAAAAAAGGAGTGATTCCTCATTATCCTCCACCTCATAATATTAAAGAGACACATATGCCATCTTCAACTCACTGTTTATCAGTTATTTCCATTAATTTGTTAAGTATGAACCTGTCATCCTTTGTGCAGTCTGCTCTGTCACCCAATCAGATGCATGCCCTGGAAACAGCAACATCATAAGCAAGCAGAGTACAGTAATACAACAATAAGGTTGCTGCATTGCTGCAAAACCATTCCCTTTTTTTCCAAAACAAGAAGAGTGAGTAAATATCCTTTGCCCAGGGTGTTGCACAATTAGAGAGGGAGCCACATTTTTTATTTATGGCAGTTTGGAAAGCACTAACCCAATCTGTTTCCACGGTAAGTGCAGCTATTTATAAATGGATCTGCTCTTGCCGTTTAGTAAGTTGGTAAACCTGTAAAACCTTTATGTCTTTGATTTTTCAGGGTGGTCATAAAATGATTGTTATTTTTGGATTAAGTGTTGTTTACACAGCACCAGATGTTGTTATCACAAGAAACTTGACTAAAAAATGTTCTGGACCAGGCTCTATTTACAAAGACCAGATATAAAGATGGGATAAGATCGAGCCCCATCTTGTAAGATCAGACCCACTCCCATCCCATTATCAACCACATGAGTGAAACACTTTGCAGCGTTTAGCAAGTTACAGGGGAGAGAAAATCTTCCTTTAACAGGTAGAAACCTCGAGCAGAACCAGACTCACGTAAAAGCGCCAGCTGCTGAGACTGAGCTGGGTTTAGAGAAGGGGGAGAGGGAGATGCAAGAAGAGAGGAGAGACTGATGCGCATATTTGAAGCAGCTGGAAAGCAGGCAGGTCAATGGCAGCAAAACGTCTGCAGCAACAGTCCAGAGAACCCAGACTGGTTTCTTCTGTAAGAGAGGTGAGAGGTGCATGAATTTTGCATCAGATTATTCAAAAAAGAAGCCTTCATATTTATGTTGCATTTCTGGAGGAAGTCTCATTCACGAACAGAACGCTTGGTTAAAGATTGATCATTTACTCATTTTCTTTGAAAATAGTCCTCTTCACTTTCTATTATAACAGTCACACTGTGAGCTCTCTTGACCATGGGGAGACCTTGTTTGATGCAGAATCAAGATTGTGTGTTTCCGCTGCAGAAAGAACTTTTACTCAGGCTATTTGGGGATATGAAATCCACGGAAAGTGACTCTGTATGAGTCCAAGCGCCCCTAACATGGTCATTAATATAAAATAACATTTGTTTCTTTGGCATATTTTTATGAGTACCTGTCGCCATAAGGGAGTACTTGTCTTTCTTAATTTTTTTTTTTAACATTCAGAGAAACATTATAAGCATAGAGTAAATTCATATTTTCAGTACTGCTTTACCTTGTTAAGAAAAAGAGAAAAAAAACAAATGAAATGCAGAGTGATAGGAAATATCAAAGTTTCTGGCTATATAAAGGGGACCATAGATGTTGGTTAAATACCCATTAGTACCCCAGTGTCGTGATATGTGCTCAAGTGTCTCCAAGTAATGTAACTCTTATATTGTCAAAGAACAAATAAAGACCCACGGACCAGCATGAACCTCTATCCCTGCTCTTTTACCCTGCAAAACCCTGGTTATAGAGTGTCACCATCTTAAACAACACCACTGCAAAAACCCCTAAGCTTATCCTACTCCAGCATCAGCTGTAAATACAAAACACAATGCAAAAATTAAATTATCCTAGAAAAAAATATTATGTTTGCTTTCTTACTTACTTCTCATGGGCAAACTCTACAAGCAGAATTCTACATACAAATATATCGGGGTAAGTGCTCTATATCAACTCAAGAAGGCCACAAAGAGACATCAGTGCAAGAGCCAGTCAGTAAACAACTCCTTCAAAGTAAAAATACACAGATTATTTGTCTGGGTGGAATAATCAGTCTGAAAAATAGAGTTCTTTGTTTCCTGGAGAGCAGTGATTTTGGAGATAGAATATTTCTGCCTGATTCTGAGGATATCAGTCATGTTTAGAAATTTGTAGCATTACCCAAAGTAATTTTCTATTTGATGATTCCACTCATAATCAAACAGAAATATGTCACCAGCCTAAAAAACAAACAAACAAACAAAAAAACATGTATACTAGACTGTGGTTTTCCCAACTTATGAGCATCATGTTATATCATGTTATACCATGTCGTAATGTATCATAATGTATCATATCACATCGTAACTGATTGTATTATATCATATTATACCATTATGTATTTTATTACATTGTGTCATACTATATTGTAATGTATGGCAGCACAATATAACAATGTATCGCATTGTATAGTTTTATACTATATCCTAACATACCATAATGCATGACAGTGCAACACAACCTATCATAACATACTGTTAAGTACAGTGTCATATAGACTCATATTGTATTGTATTTCATCCAAACATGCCACATTGTATCTTATTGCATTGGTTAATACTGCATTGTATCATATTGTGTTGTACTGTGTGGTATCATGTGTCATGATACTAAGTTGTATTGAATCGTATCATATCATATGCCCTTGGAGCTAAACTGGAATGTGGTCCACACGTATCTTGTATATTTTTGGGGTGTTACACTATTATAAAACTGTAACTGCTACATTCATATGTAGCATTTTGTTGCTTCCGATGACTAAAGTTGTACAATTTCTCAGGGGTTTAGACAAACAGCTCAGACTGAGAAGTATGAGCTGTTTGTCTGTTGATCCCAGGTTAAGTGTAAGTTCAATAATACTTTGTGAAAAGAAAAAAAAAAAAAAGGAGGGCTGTTAATTGTGATCATTATTCCATTAAATAGTGGAGTCCTCTTGAAAAATGCTGCACTTGTACCTGCATAGTGTTATGTTGGCATTGCGGGGCCCCTTATCAGCACCCCAGGCTTGGTAAAATAAACTCTTGTGTTTTTCTTTTGTTTTGTTTTTTTTAAATTTTCCTTTAATAAATGAATATCATTTCATGGAGAGAAAAAAAAGTAAAAGAATGAGGCTTAGTGTACACAAAACAAAACACACAAAGGAAATGCTGTCTAAGATTTCCAGATGGGCTAAACAAACCCAAAGTGTGTGTGTCGAGATAATCTGTTAACTAATTAAGGATTGTATGTTCTCACATTTTGTGTTGTAAGTGTATCATGTCTTTTTAATACATCGGACCTAAGAGAGGAATAGAATAAAATAATCTGTGTTGGTTCCCTGAAAAAAGCCTTTCATAAGGATTAATCTGCCTCTACACAAAGCTTTCTACTTGTTTGCATTTCTGTCGCTCTGATGTTCCACGATCCCTGCCAGGGTAATGGGCCACATACGTAATAATGCAAACAGCATAGAAAAGCTATTATGAAGTACATTGAATTATAGATGCTCTCTATAATGAGTACAGCAAACTGTTTAAAAACCAGAGCAGGCTAGCTGCTACAAAGTCATTCATTAAGAGTAAAGGCCAAAAAGAAAATTAAATTCTTTATTAAAAGTCTGTCAGGTAATAAAATATTGCTTTCCTAAAGAGAGGAAGAGAGAGATATGTTAAAGACTCGCTGCAGAGCGTGGTGATTACAGGATAAACCTGCTTCAAGTGAATGTGCTCAAGGCTACCAGTGCACAGCCATCCCTTTCAAAACACAAATTTAAATCAGCACTCTTTTGGTGAGTTATCAACGTGAAAATAAAGCCATTAAACCATCTTTTTTGGGGGGGAATTTCAAGCTGTGATTAGATGAAAAATTCTTGACAAACTCTGACATAACTCTTCAGAAGACACTGGGAACACTGTGAGATATGAGTGCTGGAAATAGATCGACTAGATGGCTCAATAAGTAGTGTGTGCGCTGGTGAAGTGGATGCGGGAAGAGAATGTTCTTTTTTGCTGGAGGCACATTATGCTGTGCAGTTGTAAACTGTGTATTTATGAGTTGGCATCCTGCACAGTTCACAGGGAGGTCAGCGTTGTAGATGGTTAGTTTGTTTGAGCCTTATGTTCACTCAGGTGTCTCAAAAAAATAAACCGCCAGCATATTGGCTGTTCCATAACCTGCAGGTAGCATGTAGTAGAGAAGGGAGACTTGGAAATAGAGAGAGAAAGAGACGCAGCATGCAGGGATGGGATAGGCACCAAGAATAAATATATGCACATAGATTATATTCCTTTTTAAATAGATCATTATTTTATCTTCTGCATAATTTAGTGTTATACAAAATGCTTTTTTTTTTTTCATTTTCTTTTTTTCATGAATAAGGCTCTGACACTGTGCCCCGTCCTCCTCCTCAAACAAGCAAGTCAGTCCAACCTAAGGCATCATGAATGTTGACCCTTAACTTTACATTATTGACATTTTATTTTTTTTAACTCACAGGAATATATTTTATGACTGGATGTGGAGACTGCAACTGTTTCAAGAATACAGAGTGAAATATATGCTTATGGGATAAACCTTATGAGTTCAAACCATGTTTGGGATAACGTATAGTGAGCAGGTGGTTTTGAGGAGTAGAATCCAAATAGGGGTTCAACTTTTCCATGGTAACAGATCCTTATTTGCATTCCTGCAAGATGAGTTGACATTGACCTACATCAATTCCCCTTAGATCTTGTTTTTGCGCGTTCACGTCAAGCCAAGCGGTGTCCCAATTCCCCATAAGGTTAAGGGGATGGACTGAGAGAAAGGGGTAAGATTTTGGTATGATTTTCATAGTAATGACACTTTTTATCAGATATTCAGTCCTTTGCTACTCCACGTAATTATTAGCTATGTTTTGAATTGTTTGCGTTTAAATATCGAGTGTTATGATGAACTAGCTAACAAAGCTATAGCTGTTGATAGCTACACTGATGTCCGACTGCTATTACGAACAACAGCCGACAGCGGCTGAATGGTACAACAGTAGGTTGTTTTCCGACTTGTTTACCGGTATTGTCGCCTCAGCCTGGGACACAGCCAGCAAGTGGCAAGGCATGATGACGTGGATGGATAGTAATCCTTCAGGCTGCTTTCACATCCGCTCTCGAAAAAATGTCATTATATACTGACTTTCAAGACCTGCTTGAGACTGAAATTAGCAGCTTCAAGCGGGTCACAGTTCACGTTTTTAGCAAGTAAGAATGTGAACTGAAGAGAAACAAGACATGTTTGGAGTAGAGGGTGGGGGAAGACATACAACAAAGAATGATTCCCATGTTTGATTCCCATGGCTGGGAATCAAACTAGCAACCGCTTTGACAAGGACTATAGCCCCTATATGTTGGTTTTTTAGACCTCTAGGCTACTGGCGTCATGGTTAAAAGTTACTTCATTATGCTAACTCTTTGGTGCACTGAAACAGAGGAGTTGACATTCATTGCAGAGGCATATTGCAGGATGGGCACCAATTGTCAGAAGGTCCCATGACTGCAGTTGCCATAATGTTGTGTTTCTAATGAGAAAACATTGCCTGAAAGTCAAGAGTTCGGAGTAGATTAACACAGGAGCCCTACTTTTAATCAAGTATTTGTCAGGACTTTTGTAAACTAAGAAACCAGAAAGTGTGTTCAACAAACTACTGCAGGTCGTCTTTTAACAATCATCTTGTTGCCACTGTTTCCGGGCAAAATTTGTGAATCAAAAGAGAAGAAATAAAAGGCATCCTTCTGTAAAAGAAAAGATGGCCCAACATAACATTTAACTGGTTAGAAAAAGTTATAGATATACTCAGAGAATCTAAACCACTCACATACATGTACATTGCTTTTTAGTAAAAAAAAAGGCCGAAGTGCATCCTCTGAGGTGCAAATCCTTGACTCTCCCCATTCAAAGCCCAACTAAATCTTGTTATTCCTGGCAGCAGAGCATTCCTATTATATCAGGATCAAAATATGTAGCTGCAACCTTCAAATTGCTCTGTAATTAAAGTGCGGGTCATTGCAGACTTTGTGAGAATACTTTAGATCTATTTCACTCTGGGTAGCAGCTCATCCTAGCCCACGTTTATTTCTTCCCTACATTAAGGAAATACTCACAGCCTCAATTGCATGATGAATCATGGTTTCATTTTCTATCAATCTTATCCCAGGAGAGTAGAATGAGCCAAAATTTATCCAGTTTCATTCCAGACATAATGGAATTCAAGCTATTAACACCTTTTCCCAACGTGCTAATGCCCTAACAACAAGTGTGTGAGGTAAGGGCTGCTCTGTGAACTGTCATATCTGGGCTCTACTTCAGTTAAATACGTTGTGTTTTTTTTCTGTTTTTAAACAGCTTGCTTCACATTGACTACAATTCCTTATTAATTGACTCTTTTGTCCTGTCTCTCAGCCTCAGCCTCTCTGCTTGCCTGCTTCTGTGTTTTGTTATGCCATCTGTACACTCTGAAAATCAAAGCTCCTCCTCTCTCCCCATCCATCCGTTCTCTGTCACATCCCCCCCTTTGTTCTGTCCCGACAGTTGTCAGACAAAGACCGTAATGTGAGCAGTTTGCAGCTCAGTTCAGGGGATTGAGAACTTTTGGAGATACAAACGTGCTTTGTTTTCTTTTGCACCTTATGATTTGGTTTCCCTACATCAGCTAACTCTCCTTATAAATCCAGTGTTCACTCACCACTTTAGTCGGCAATGGCAGCAAAAATGTCTCTGGAGCATATGTGCGCTCGTACTGTAAAATCTGGAATATGAGTCATACAGTATGTGGTATAGAGTCTATTCTTGGTGGTATCTCAGAGAGCAGAAGGTTTTAATGTGCGTTTTTGCTCAACAATTTCCATCGTAGTCATTTAAGTCAACAATGTGATGTTTTGGTGCACCTGCGGAGCTCTTTTAATCTAATTTCCTCATGTGGAGTTTGCAATCATGCCAGCCACTGATAAGGTAGTTTAGCTAGGCCTTGGAGCAGGCAGGGCTGAACAGTGCTATGTGTGCCTGAGTGTATGTGGCATCTATATCAAACCAAATAGGGCCAAAACACACCTCAAAAAAGGACTTTTAATTCTTCTCCAAGTTTGTGTATTTTATGTATGTTTATTTAAGTTCTTGTTTTATGGAGGTAGCATGCAAAGAATATAGATGGGCAGATAATGTAAGTACTGAGACATTTAGTTTAAACTACATCTGCATTATAATCATCTATATTGTTTCCTTTTGCCATTGTTTTAGACTGGAAACAGCATCATAAACCATTGTTTATGGAGGCTTTTGTAGCAATAAACTGTTGAGAAGGCAATAGATCCTATGTTTAGATGTACGACAGTGGCAGCAATAATATATCATTGCTTTTTCATTTCATATTGCCTGTTCTGGAAGAGCAAAACAGATAAGCCACATGAGTAGACATATTATCTTACATTTGGAAAACCGAGGCTTGTGCCATATCCTGTGTTGTGCATATGGACATTTTGTGGGAAGGAGAGTTTAACCAAAATTGGTCCAGATGGTATATTAGATCATAAAATGTAAAAATTGTCTTTTTTTATTTTATGGCGCACAGTTTCAATTTGTTTGATACTTTGGCTGCAGTTTCACTGATACAGAAAAAGTAAAAACGCCAAAAATGACAATTGTGGTTATAAATTTGAACAAGAATCAAAGAGAGGAGTTTGAAAAGTGTTATAGGCAAAACGACCAACTTCTACGAAAAAGACTTGCCTGTAGACCATTTATGAGAATAACTAAAATGTGTTCTTGCTGTGTTAGTTTAACATGCAGACAGAGGGCTTTATATTTCAGTCCAACAACTAGCATGCAGAGTGTAATTGAGTGTAATCGCTGAGCTAAAGCTTTACGGTGTAATAATGCTTCAAAGAAATAGGCTACCTGTGGCTTGCCTGTTTTCCTACAAAGGACATTTTGCACACCTTTCAATCATGCAATGCAGCAATAAAATCATTTCTACTTATATAGTGGTTAACTAAGATTTATTCCCATGAAAACAATGATCCACAGACGTCCTCTCGCTCCCTGTCCATCTGGCTTTACCGTGCTGGGTTTTAAAATGTGTTTTAGTCCTGTGACAACCATTGCAAACACACTTAGCACTCGGTGTGAGCATGAGTAAAGAGTTAGGCTTGACAGACCACTAATGGAATTCTCCCATGAGTCTTTAGAAGCCTTTCATATGTCTTAATGAGAAAACGCAGAATGACTGCATAATTCCTGTGTGAGCAGTGTGAGTGTGCCTTGTCTTCCGCGTCTGTGTGTGTATATGCGAGGGCCCAGATAGTGCTTTCGTGCATGGGTCTAATGCAGCATTAGCCGCTAAGCCTCTTAGCCACTTCCGAGCTAGGCCCCTGCCTCTGTCAGAGGTTAACACTGTTGTTGAGACCCATCACCACAATTATCCCCAATCTTGTCATTCCTGCCCTCCCACTTCTCCCCTAACTACCTTCCCTGGCTGAAATACTTGAGCTAAATTATCCAGCATGCCCCCCACCACACACATACTCCCTTTATTTATCATTCAGGGACCAGCTTACTGTTATTGATCCCTCCCATGTTAATTGAGGTAAGGGGTCTTTTTCCACCAATTCCTCCATTGATCTGAAATGCCATCAGTCAGAGGCTTAATTAAGCAGCTAATAGAGGGAAATGCCATCGATCCCATGGTGTCATTGCATTTTTGTATGTGTGTGTTTAGTTGAGTGTTTGTGTTCCACTTTTACTTAATGTCACAAGCTGAGTGTCATCTAAAATTCAATTTCGACAAGGTAAACAAGCTTTTAAGGTAGAGCAGTCATCTTTCATGACTAATAAACAGTTTTTCACCTTATTTATTAATCAAATGCTGCTTTTTCCAAGCTAATTTTTAAAGCTCGGGGGGCTTTTTACTGTTAATCGAAAAGACTGGAATCATAATGGGTTACCCCTTTAAGAGCCACAAAATCGATCCAGATTATCAGCATACATATTGATTATTTTTGTACCATTATTTTTAATGTCTGAAATTGCCGCCTGAGGGTAGGTGCCAGTGAGTTTCACCATGCCGGAGACATGTTTTCATTATCCACTGCAAATAACTCTTATAAGTGATATATTTGGTTTAGAAATTCAGCATGATTACAAATGTACAGAACAGATCCAACAAACACATTAGAGAAAACACTTTGTCCACAGGGGGCACCGAAATCAACACAAATTTAAAGCTCCTCAACAGAGTTTTAAAGGGCCTTGATAAACTTGTTGGAAGAGTTATTGTACATAAACATTTATTTAACCTTTATTTAACCAGGTTTGTCCCACTGAGATCTGAGGATCTCATTTGCAAGGGAGACCTGACAAAGAATGGCAGCAATACATAGTTACAACAAACAGTCACACAGACTCAATACAGAACAAAAATGTGAGGAAACATCAGCTAAAACAGAGACATTCTGAGAGTTTGTACTCCAGCCTTTTAACTGCAGACTTAAAAACAGTCAAAGACACCAAGTTTTGCAGCTTAAATTCAGTTTGCAGATTATTCCACACAAAGGGGGCAGAGAACCTGAACGCCTTCTTTCCCATTACAGTTCTGACTCTGGGGACAACAAACTGTATAATCTCAATGATTTCAGGTTGTGTAATCTGTCCTTTAATATCAATAAGGAGCAGAGGTAGTCTACATTTTTTTCAAGAATGCCTTTGTAAATGAAAATGTACTAATGACCAAGTCGACGAGTACTTAAAGAAGTCCAACTGACTGTGGAGTATAGAGTACAGCAATGAGTTAAAAATCCACAATCTGTTATAAATCTCAGAGTTCCATGATAAACACTGTCCAACATTTGCAGACTCTGGGCAGAGGCATTCATGTATAAAACATCACCTTAATCAAGATGAGGTAAGAATGTAGACTCCACAAGTCTCTTTTTAACAGTAAAAGAGAAACAGGACTTGTTTCTATAGTAAAAGCCTAATAAAACTTTCAGCTTTCTAACAACATGCTGAATATGTTCTTTAAAAGACAAGTTTTCATCCAGTAAAAACCCCAGGTAACATATTATGACAATGGCAAAGCATCATTATGAATTAAAAGTCTATTTCTTAAATGTAAAAAAACTCTGAATAGGAGCTTTAAAACATCAAGAAGATAATAGTGGACTATATTTTTGCAGCACAGTGCAACTTTCTTATCCTGCTCTTGTCTTTCTTTGAAGTATCTTACAAGATACCCATATTTATAATTTTTTTTTCTGATTAATTTGACATGAGCCCTGGCTGCTTTATATTCTTACACCCAATGTCTTAAAGTAGCTGCGGTGACACTTGCTCTAAAGAAAGAACTAGCGCATGCGACTGTTGTTCCCCAGTGACTTAAGAGGATGATACAGAGCGAGACTTGGCAAGAACAAGCAGTACTGAAGGAGCTCAGTAATGAAGAGAGTGGGGAGGACTCTTGATTGAAGATAACACGTACGTATTAGATCTCCCGTGGTTCTAATGTTTTTTCATTAGATGTGACACTTATGGGAAAAATAAATAAATAAATTAAAATAGTCGGTCCACAATGAATATATTCCTGTCTGCTAAAGTTGATAAGAAACAAAGATTCTCTTGAGATTCTATGAAGAGTGCAAGAAAACCTCCACACCAAGTCATTTTTAACCACTTATGCACCTGAGGGTTGAAGTCATTACTGTGTTGAAACTGTATTAAGTGTTTTATGCCTGAAAAATAATGTCCTATTTGATGAAAAGATATATCAAGTGGAGTGGAGTGAAAGATTTCTTTTCTCCTCACTCCACTTGTGGGGGGAGCTCAAAAGTCAACTGCACGGATTTGTTCGTCACGCAAGTAATTAAACCTCAATGGGAAACAAATATAATGTAATAGTGGCAGTTTGTACAGCACCCTAACTATGCTTTTGATTAAAACACACGGGTGACATGTACTTCATTTTTGTTCAGGGCAAACACTTCAAACACTGAAGAGGTGGTCATGAATAAAGTTCGTTCACAGTGGATATTCCTCTTACTTCCCTGTTTCCCATTAAACTACTGAGTGTGGAATAAGGACAGTGTTTTCTTGTACAAAAGTGAAGCTAAATGTGCCAGAGTGGGCTGTTGGATTATTGACGCTCTTCCTTTTCCTTTCTTCCCTCAGGGTTCAATAGCTTTTGGGAAAGTAAAATAACTGCATCCTGAGTGTTACCTGTGTCTTCTCTTTCTTTTCCTTCTCCATTCTACATCACTGTTAGCAAACTTGGAACCCGTCAGCTGACATCTAAAGACGGACAATGGGAGTTACGTTTTGGAGCCAGTAATGGGGTTTACATTGACATGCAGTCCAGACCTGCTTTGTTGGCAGTCCATCTAGCTACTGTAAAAGAGAGATCACTGCACACAACTGAAGCACAATGTGAGCAGCTTGTGGCGCCAGTGCACTGTCATGGTTTCTATTCTATTCTATTTATTCATTATAACACAGGGCCAATTTTGGCTTGTGCCATACTGTAGTTTACATGACAGAAATTCAAATATTGTAGGTCTTTTTTTAGTCTGCAAAAATCTCATTATTTTAGTTAACTTTTTTCTCTGTCTCAACTCTTTTATTTAGCCGGTAAGAAACTGATTTCAAGGTCTTACCAAATGTTTCATCTGCAAAATTTTACCAAACCTTATTTTAAAAAGATGAAGTCTCTCCACAAACATACCAGTCTGGATATCCAAATCATTGTTGAAAAAACTTCTAGGCTTGTTTAGCATTTAACAGCATTTAAATTCCTTTCGACAACAATCAAAACAACGATTTTGTCTTCAAGAACCTCAAACAAGTCTAGTTGCCTTTTTAACAAAGAATACGGTAACCATGACCTGGATGAATGAGAACTTGCACAGACAGACTGGTCTGGACTTTTACTTTGAAAAGCACACAGCTTGGGTTACTGCACATATGTCAGAGTCAAGGCCCGCGGGCCACATCCGGCCCGCGAGAAGGTTTTTTACATCCCTGGGATGATCTTGATTTATTATTAGAGCCGGCCCGCAGACCGCAGCAAGCCGGCAGCCCGCAGATCTTTTACACGCACCAATACTACATTTCCCACAATGCAACGGTGACGCACCGAGCAGTAGGCTGCTTCATTTCAATATTTATTAGCACAGCAGTCGTCAGCATAACAGTAAAATTAACTTTCAGATACCCATCAAAAATGGCAAAACGGAAGGTGGACACTGAGAACCGGGGGTTTGAAACAAGGTGGGAGTCGGAGTATATGTTCACGGAGGTAGCTGGAAAACCTGTGTCTTCTGTGTGGAGAAAGTGTGGCGGTACTGAAAGAGTATAATCTGAGACGACATTATGAAACGAAACACGCGGACAAAAACAAGAATATGGACATGGAACAAAGGCTACAGAAGGCCGAGGAATTAAAAAGATATTTTAAAAATATTTCAGTTGAGTGGATGGTAGAAAATTGCTATTATTATTTTTTTCTTTGAAGTAAATTTAGCCCACTTTTGCTAAAATAGAAAATATAGGCTACTGATGGTGCCTTGAATAATACCGGTTTCTTTCATTTAATGTTCATGTTATGGGGATTTTTATATAAAGGAAATTTGTCTTTTGTGTCTGTTGAAAATTAAAGATTACTGACAGAGCCATAAGAAAATATTGCTTTATTTATCTGATCATATTGGAATATATTTGTTAAGTTTTCAGTAGGTTCAATTAGGTTCACAAGACTATATGCGTCATTTAAAAAAATTTCAATGAACATTCGATCAGTCCGGCCCTCGGCTTGTAGCTAAATTTTTTATTTGGCCCTCCATCCATTTGACTTTGACACCCCTGGGTTACTGTATTCTCCATTTCCAACCATGCTTTCTACAAAAAAGATAACTCGTCCATGAACTAATTAAATAATTAATCAGTTTATGCAACTGTGAGGAGTTTGCATGTTGTCCCTGTGCATGGATGAGTTCTCTCCTGGCACTCGGGCTTTCTATACACTCTAAAACTGGCCATAGGCAATGAGTGGAAGCATGATTGGTTGTGTGTCTCTCTAAGTCAGCTTTATGATAGACAGCTGGACTAGGCTCCACCCACCACCCACATGACCCTGAAGGGGAAAAGCAGGAAAGATAATGGATTAATTAATTTGAGTGTGCTCACTGAATGTTAAAAAATAAAACACATTTGGATTGTATAAAAATTTTCCACAAAATTCAAACAAATTCATTCCAGGATTTAATCATAGGCGACTGTATTGGGGGCGACTGTTTCCTGCCCGCAGTCGTCATGCACTGTCTTTAAAGCTCTTAAACAAATTGCTGAAAGAGACTCATTTGTCAACAGAGCTATCAACCACTGTGTTGTCTCATTTGTTGACATGGATGAGGACTGGTTCTGTTTGACCTTATCTCAGCCTTTTATTAAAGGCAGTTAAGGTGTTTTGGCTTCACTCTTGAAGAGCTGTCAGATTGTCCATACAGTCTGTGCATCAGAACCCCTCTGCCTAATGATGCCGACATCCTCGGAGTGGAGCACCGTAAATGCTGTGTTGTATGGATTGTGTGTATTTTTGCAAAAGCACTAAAGCATAAAAGCTTTTCTTGTCAGGGGAATGCTGTACTCCATGTTTTACTGCTTTCAGTCACCTGCGCTGTTCCTCTCCAGTGTGAGAGTGCACCATGATAGAAGAGAAAATCCACCTGTCCTTGTGGAAATTTCAGCCAACATCTGGACAAGGTCAGATCTCTGCTTTGAGAGTTTTTTCCCTCTCCTATTCTTGCTGAGTATCCTCCTCCTATTGAAGCATCTAAACATAAAAAAACACGTATGAGAGCTCTTTTTAAAACCTCTGTTGTGATTAAGAACCTTGTGAGCTCTTCCCAGGCCTCAGGCTCTGGTAGGTACAGACTCGGGCTTTGTACATTACGTATTCTACCCTCACATGTTTCCTTTCCTTGTATTCTTTCCACTTACAAGGTTTTACATAAAAAATTCATTAGAAGCTGAACATTACCTCATGAAGAACACTGTGCTCTGCGACAGCTGTGACCTATACCATACACTATACATTAAATGTAATACGAACATGAGCATGTAGAGTGCTCTAACTGCCCGGTGCACTCCATCAGTCTTTGTCCTCATACTTTACACTCCAAGTGTTTTCAGCCTGACAGCGTGTTACTGTATGTACAAACAAATGGCTGTAATGTAAGCATGTTGTGTTCAGTTATAACCACGGGAAGTTGGTGTTACGCTTCATATAAACCTATACTTTATAATGCATTACAAGCACATTTATAATGTAGCCTTTATAGAAATGAATCCATCAGCCTTTATACTAACCCCATTAAAGGGTTAGTTATAACTTATTGCAATGTCTGTGGAGTGTTATAAGCAGTGAACATAATGCCTCATGACAGTATGATTAAAAATGCATTATATCTTAAAAAAAAGACAGATACTTCCTCAGTATATTTATGGCAGCATGCAAAAAAGCCATTACAAGACAATGGCTCTGTAGGGATCCACCCACGATCAGTCAATTGGCAGGTATAGTAAAAAACATTTAAAGTATGGAAAATTTGACCTTCTGTCTTAGATTGCAGAAGGAAAAGTGTGATGTTCTGTGGAAGAAATGGGAAACGTACCTATCACAAAGAGGGGATAGCTTGTGCTAGTTTTGAAACACCTTCATTACGGGAAACAATTCTTATATTGGAGTAAGTTGTTCTGATCAACTTGCATTCCCCCAATTTATAAGGTTATAACCATAACTATCGCCAGATTTGGAAAAACCTGTGGATTTTGTGTTTCTAAGATGTTTTGATATGTATGGCTCTGCAGACAACTGTATTTTTATTTTCAAAAAAAAAAAGAAAAAGAAATTATTAAGAAAAGTGAATAAAAAGCATTATATCTTAATGCAAAACTAACTACAGTAATCTTTGAACTGTGCGTTCATGATAAGGGTCACACAGAAGTAATTTATTAGTTCTAGTGTTACCTTATTTTTTCTTGCACATCCCAAAAAAATCTGACATTTTAAGTAGCTTTGTTTTAGTAAGTGTCATCAAATATGACCCTTTATCTGCTTTGACTGCTTTGTTTTGAAAAGTCAAACCTGATTTTTCTCCAATTTGACTGCTAAGCCAAACTGATGCTGCGAGCAAATATGGAAGCCACCCAGGGATCTTGGCGTACCTAGATCAACAGACAGGGATTTGACATCATGGGAATAGACTGTTCTTGGTTTGAGTGATTGCTTAACACTTCCTAACCACTTAACATCAACAGGATACACAATATGCTGTTTCCTTTGTTACTTAACTTTTCCAGCTTCAGACTGCATCGCAATACAAACTTAAGAGAATAGGTTGAATATGGATCCAATCCAAACAGTTAAGGCAGCTTGGCATAGAACTTTGACTTAAAACTGGAAAGACAAGATGTCCAGAAAGTATAAAATCAAAAGGCCAAGATCTTTAACGGTCATTAAAGAACATCTCACATTTGTTGAGTTACATCTAATTGACGAAAAAGTGTCAGAAATCCACACCCTTTGGTTTGATGAGGTTATGTGATGGATATATGTGTTAATTAGTGACCTTTAGATGTTCGACCATTTTGGTTTCGTTGCTATCAAACAGAGTTGAGCTTGTTTTTGTGTCCTTTTTTCTGCTGAGTAAATGGTGGTGTATAGTAAGTGGTCGTATAGTATTCTCAACAGCCAACTTAATTTGAATAAATCACCCTCTATTTCTAGTTATTATAACACCTAATTATTTCATTCATGGTGAAGTCAAAAGTCTTTTTTTTATTATTATCATTATTTTTTTTTCTAATGTATTTTCCTCTTTGCATTACAAGCACATTTGAGTCAGTTAACATGTTCTTGTTCAGTCAACCACTCTTTCAACAGCATCAAAGTCTATTCCATGTTCGGTTTTGTATCTGACTTCTGTCCTCTTTAATTCTGACAGTCATTAAATATCACTCCTCCTATCTTACAAATGTCCCCTAATCACAGGGATAACACAGTCATGTGACCTCTGAAGATACTTGTTACCAATTAAAACATGACCACCACAGGGTCAGGCGATCTACACACTAACTGCCAGCATGAGGTCAGTTGATTCTTATCTGGGTTGTGTAGTAGAGATGATATCGACCATTTGGACTTTTATTACTGAAGACACTTTGATATCTCACAGCAGGGAGAAGTGTAAGTGTAAATGATGAAATTGGTTACCATTGAGCTCACAGTAGCCTCTGTTCCAGTGTCCTGCAGACTGTTTCCAACCCCCCAGGTTTTCTTAGGGTGAACACAGTGAAACAGTCTTTGGGTCCAAACTATTCCTGCCATCAGTTGAACCCAAATATTGACATGGCTGCAGCACTCGGAGATGCCAGAAAACTAAGACCAAGAGTCTCATCAAGGGTTTCTTGAGTATGATTCGAGGAGATGGGTGCTCTAGCATAAAAACACAGTTAAAGGACACAACTTCTTAATAAATATGAGGCAAAAGTTATCATTTTAAACACTTAATAATATAGTTTATGTTCAAGTGATCTGCAATGCACTTATCAGGATTGCAGGACTGTATCCAGTGTTAAAATATCCTCAGTGATGATCAAAAGTGTTAGCAGGAACTAACACTTTTTGGCAGAGATGAAATACAGTGAATAAGACTAGTTTAGCGTCCAATTGTGATTGATTTAATGATGTTTGTGGTGACGTGTCTGCTTGTCCTTAGCATCACCTCTGCGACTGAGAATCAATCAACATAGTTAAATGGATTTGACCAATCAGAGGCGAGCACAAAACACAGCAAAATGATTAGATAAGAATGATAATGACCAATGAACTACTGCTCATTTTGATATCGATGGTGTTACATTAGTTTAGAAAAGACTATTAATCCTCAACAGGAACACTCCTTTGCCACAGGGTTAATGTATCCGCTCTAAAAACATAGACAATAAATTAACAAAAATGCAGCTAAAAATAAATAAATAAATAAATTTAAAATCATATCACGTAAAATTAACAGCCATGGATCCAGACCATAACTTGAAAAGTTCATTAAAATATCTGATCGCCACTAAAACAAATGACTATTTAAAGAGTTTCTGAGCTTATGTTATGTTACATTTTGTTCTTCTTTTGAGGTTTTGGTGCCTAACAGGTTTCTAACAAAGCATTTCTACTGTCCTGCTGCTCCTCTTATTCTAAGCAGGACATGTAAACTGCGGATCACATGCAAAATGCTGAGACCAGTTTTAGTCAGTTTCCGTTAAGTTAATTTTCAGTTCAGTTTAATGCCTCAGCCCCACATGAGGCGTTTAACAGGAGAACTTAATCCCGCTGAGTTATCATGGTTTTGTTAGTCTGACTATGAGTGAGTTGCCTGTGTACAATTTGAGTTGGACTAACATGTCGACATGTAATTTCAAAAGTCCAGTTTGCAATAGACTTTTTTTTTTTTCTTTTTGAGCGGCATGTTAACATACTGACTGATTTGAAATTGCCTTTGCAGTAAAAAGTTAGTTTTAGGGCTCTGTTTTTGGTCTAGGGAGGCAAAATTCAAAGAGCAAAGACCTTACAGTGATTATGGGGGGAAAACACAGGAGTGACAGGTAATATCAATGATGGTTTTATCCATTAAGAAGTGTCAGTCAGCCACAATCCAGTGTAAGCACATATATTATACCCAGAGGGTTGTATTGGCAGCCCTGATATTAATAGTCTTAGTTTTACCATATCTGCAGTGCTGATGGTATTTAATCCTGATGCTTCTGGGTGGCTTTTAAGCTAATTATCATTATTAAGATCCATTTTCAGATGTACCTTGTGCGATGCTAAGGACATTTTCTTCTCAGGGATTCAGATAATTCATGACTCTGCAGTTCTTTAATGATGACATAGGTTGTACCTTAATCTTTTTAGCCACCCTTTCTGACTTCAAAAGAGCATAATGAAAATTATGAAGCCAGAGGTTATATGTACCCAATCAGGCTTATTCTCTCTCTCTCTCTCTTTTTTTTTTTTTTTTTTTGTTGGTGAATCCTTTTAAGATTCTGCAGCTCTCATACTGATGTGGTGTAATTGATTTTTATGTCAGCTTTGGTCGTTTTTCATTTGCAGCGCATACATTAGCTTTTCATCCCCTCAGTGAAAGCTGTTCTACATCACACTGTACAGAATGCATTAAAGACAAAAAAGAGAGATGAGGTACCAGGGTAGGTTTTTAGCAAATATCTGTTTACCCTGTAAATCTCAATTAAAAATAGTTTAGGTTGCTTTTAATGTGCTGTCATGAGTTATTACTTTGTATTGTTTCAAAACTTGACAATTTCATGCGGCGTTTAATTTATTCAGTCCATAACAGATGATACCCCCCCTTAAATTCCTTCGCCAGCATCGTTTTATTGTTGATAAATCTCAGTTTGTCATTACTCTTAAATCTGTAATTATGAGTTTTCTCCTGTGTTCGTGTGTACGCCTGTGTGTGCATAAGATAGTGAGGATTTACTTCTTATAAAGCTGGCATGGTACCAGATGCCTAATTGTAAATTTATTCCAGCGTTCAAAATGATCAAAGCAGTTTCATAGCTATTATTTTATCATCAATTCCCAGCCTCATCCAGGTTTTTCATCATCATCATCATTATCTGAAAGAATCATTTTCATCAGATTATTCTGCACACCTTCTTCTGTTTTGTAAATATATTTCTATTTATCCTGGACCATGTTTATTCAAGAGCATTTAGAAGAGAAGACATGGATTCACCTGATCACCTAGAGTCCAAACAGTTCAGCTAAGAGGCTAACCAGCTGGGACTGATAGTTATGTGGTGCAGTCCTATATAGGGCTGGATGATAAAATGATAAAGATATATATCGAAATTAATTTACCTCAATAGCAATATAAAACATGGTCGATATGCTTTTCAATACTCGGCATTCTGCCATGTTTTGGTAGACTATTTGAACAGCCAATGAAAAGGGGAGTTGCTCCGGGTCCACTTCGCTCTGAACCAATCATGTGCTGCATAGTAGCAGGCTGCAGCTACCAACCATAGCACTTAAACACGTTAAGCCGACAGCACAGTCGGTGAGAAAAAAGGAAATGAGTGCTACCCTCGGCAGAAATGCGGATGAAGGCTTAACAGATGGTGACATCATCGACAACACTGGCAAGTAAATGTTGGTGGTTGGAAAGTATTTTGTTTTTTTGAGGTCAGACATGAAGCAGAGTAACGTGCACTGCAAATTATGTTGAGTACATGTTCTCGCAAAGTCGGGGAATACCTCAAATCCTTTCACTCCCTGAAGCAGTGCCACGCGGCAGAGCATGCGCAATGCAAAAGGTTACAAACCCCGAGCAGAGCAAAGAGCCCACGGTGCGTGTGCAGTCGAAACAGCCGACCATTCAGTCCGCTTTCTCCAGCACAATGCCTTACGACAAAATGCCGAAGAGACACAAAGACCTCACATTAGCAGTAGCTTATTGTACTGCAAAAGACATGCTACCAATAAGCACTGTTAAATTTACCTTTTTATATCCTGATATATATATATCGATAACAACTGAAAAAAATATACTGTGATTAACTTTTTCCCATATCGCCCAGCCCTAGTCCTATTCCATAGATTCAGGTGACAGCAAATAGGAATAATATGAGCCCCTAGAAAAAGTACAAATAAATATATTGAACATTCTAAATTGCTGCCCCTTTTCCAAGATTCCTGCTCTCTGCTGTTTTATACCCTGTTCTCTTTCTTTTGGACGCAGTATGAGCAGATGGAAGAGCAGTTTGACTGCAGCGAAAGACAAACCCTTTCAGCTCACAAGCTGGGTATCGTGTCACACTTTCAGGCCTCAAATCCGATGGCTTTGCCAGCGAAATTACCATCGATTTGATTTGCAGAGATTAATTAAGCGGCATTACAGAAACCCCTCGCTTGCCTGACAGCATTACCACCGCCGTCTGATTCACTTAATTGTTATCTCGGGTTTGGGGGGTTGGTTGAGTGACGCTGTTTGTCTGTGTTGCTTGTGTATGCTTTTGACAAGATGACAAGCTCTTCTGCTGTCAGCTTGCCCCAGCAATTTAAATCCATCTTTGAATACACTCATTAATATCATCGCTGCATGCTTGTGTATACTTATAGCTCTCTTCGCTTTCTTACAATTGGTGTCTATCATCGCCAAACACTTGTCATCGTAATCTTTGAATTTATTCAACAGTATGCACGGGCTCAACACGCATCACTGTACTGTACCATGTAAACAGCTTGTGGGATTGCTAATGCTTGACTGTTTACCGAAATGGTTTATGGACTCAATCTGCAAACTAGCATAATTCACATGAATAAACACTGTCAAGCACTGTTGCTGTCAAATAACACATAAATAAATAATAAAAGCTTGAGGAGAAAGTTTGTGAGGAACATGCAGAACTTTTCCAACAAAAAGAAAAGTGTCAGTGGTGTTGTCTTCTAGAGATATCAGTAGATCAAATGAGTCATTTCTGTTGTACTTTTCCAGCTTGATCCTCCTTCAATGAAGTCTTGCCCCCTCCTATCTGTGACCTTATCCAGGTGATATCACTCTTAGCTTGCGTCTTTACTTGATAACGTTATGGCCTCTCCTTTTTGCCCATCTGATAAGAGATGAGAAGGATTTTTGTAAAGGAAAGCTTTCTCTCTGCACCTCCACCTTTAGCAGATCTAATCTCTCCTTGTTATCGGCCACAGAGACAGTCCGACCATAGTGTGAATAAAAAGCTGTACATAACTTGTTTTTTTAATTCCCTCGAGGAATCAAACACTTTGAATATATTTACACTTTACCCAACAAAAACTGGCTGTATTTTGTATAACCGGGTGTGAGAAGTCAAGAAGTATGAATAGATGGGCAGTAAATGCAGGGCTGGGGTTATCAAGTGAGGACCTTCCCCATTGGTGCTCTGTCAAGTTGGGGCCTGTTGCCACATTCAGCAGACCCAGTCTTCACTTAATAGAGAAAAGTGTTAGTTCAGGCAGGCCAGGAAGTCAAGCTCAGCCCACAGGACAAAAGCTGATCCTTATGCCTGCCCATATCAGCTGAAAGCTTAGCCATTCACCTTCTGCGCATCCAACTGGCAAATGTCAAATGTCACTTCGCCATAGTCATAACAATGATCCTCTCTGCAAAGTGTATGGCTTACTCTCTCTAAATAATACATGCACGCTGTCGCTATGCCAGCTATTCACTTCCTGCACTGCAAGCTGCTGTTTTCCCCAGTCGCTGCAACAGCCTCTCTGGAAGGAAATTCTCTTCATGTTTCTAAGATTGCATCAGGGGAATGCTGCCGTCGCCGATCCTATAAATAAACAAACCGCTGTCTTACTCCAGGTTTATTCCTCATAACCATTGTAGTGCCACCCAGCTGGTTATGTCACAATCTTAGGTTTTAATCATCACTTAACATCCAAAACTTTGCAAGAGTTCATGCCCTGTTTGGTCTGCCTTGATGCCGAGCCTCTGTGCTTCCTGATTGGTCTTGCAGTTGTAACAATATGACATGTTACAGTAGATGTTTTTTAGTCCAAAGCAGTGTACATATGGGAGTAAGTACAACACAAGCAAAGGTAGTCAGAATGAAACAACACGAGAAATTAACTGCTCAAAGTAAAAGCAGACTTCGAGTGGTGCTGTGCAGATGTAGCTATGAAGACTGAATGGAGTTAAAGGGATATTCCAGCATAAAATTAAGTGAGGGTCAAACACACTGCCATGCCGAGTTAGGCAACCCCTTGAGAGATGAATGTTGCAGACCGCTTGTACTCTATAGCCACAAATAATGCTCTAAACAGTACCTAACTTCATCAGCAGTTAATATAGGGTCCCAGCCATAGTGCTAGCCATCAAACATCTTTTTAGCTTTGCCTAGTTTCTCTTGCAAAGGGACCAAGCACAACTCACCCACTCTCCTCCAGCAACCGCTTGTTTGTGGGGGAGCCCTGATGAGTCAATCACTGAGTGCAGCGGAGTTTCGCAGCTGAAGGAAGAACATTTATATGATTATTACCTGATGGAAATACAATCAGACCAAGACGCTACTGTAGAAGAACTACTGCGTTTGCAGTACAAAATTATTTTTATGATAATTATTACTTCAAGGAAATGATCCACTGCACCCGGTGATCAACTCGTGGGTAGAGAGGACAAGAACAAGTGTGTGTGTTAGAGGAGTACAATGCTTGTAAGAGAGTGAATTATGATGTTAACTTTCATCATGCACCCAAAAACATTAGTGTCAGAGAGTTGAATAGCTCCTATGTTACCTGCCACTTCTGCTGCATGCCTCTTTGGCAGAGGTGGCCGCCAATGTTAGGCTACAAGCTAGCGTAAAGAGTAGGTTGTTAATGCACTAGTAGAACTCTGCAGAAGAAAAGCCCCTGATAATGACACAGGTAACATAATTTTGGCTTAAGACGTCACAATCACAATTTAAGGACCACCGAGAACACTTTAAAAAATAGGGGAAAAAATGATAGGAGTTGGACTTTAAGACTGATTAACTGAACTGATTTATGGTGTTATGAATTAACTGGCTGAAGTTACTATCTATGCAATGTCAAAGTGTGCATGAAATAGTGGTAGTTAATTATAAAATGCTTGTATTTTAGCCGATAATTTCAAAATGATGTGGTTTTGATGTTACATGATTTGACCAGCAGATGACTGGACTTTACCTACTCTCCAATTATCAGCATTGGCTGTTAATAACACAGTATCAGTTGACCACTTGGCTCACCATGCACTCCCTGTTTACAGCAGCAGGGTATTTTACTGTTATTACGAAATAATAACTTTAAGCTCCTTTGCAGCTTTTCTGTTCCTTGACATGCTTAAGGAGTGTCCTCTCACTAAAAACCTTATAAATGTGTCAATTTTTTAAATATTTTATGTAGAAAATTTGAAAACAGTACTTTCGCTTCAGCCACTTTGCTGATACATATCACTTACATCGTTTTCAGGCATTAAAAAAAGGGGGCTGGCATTAAAAACTACAATTTAAAGTTAGTCAATCTCATTGCTGGTGGTCTGTTGGTCTTTCAAATGCACAGATTTTTCCTCACGAGTAGTGGTTCTCCCGTGCATCCCTTCGTGTACGAGCATGTTGTGAATTTATGCAGCTTTAAAGTAGCAGCACAGTTATGTGCCATGGACTTTTGACCAGGTGTTTACTGGTCTATGGCACAGCTGCTTTCTGCATCCTCAAGATAGCAGCGAACACTTGACTTCATCTTATTTCAAGACCAAATAAGATTTTCTGTGTACACAACAGGGGGTGAAAATGTTGACTATGTAACAATGACACTTTTAAGACTCGTACATCTATTTAATTTATCAGTTTTGAAATATTCCTCAACATTAGTAGTCAATGTTTAATGCAAAGGCAATTGTAATACATGTAAAAACAAAAACAGCAGAGTCATGGAAGGAGAGAAAAAAACAGAAGCACACACATCCAGACACACACTCCCACCCCCTGATTCTTTATTGCATAACCTAATGAGGCATCGTGAATACGTCGTCTGCATATATACAGGCCTATTTGTATTTGCAGGGAGGAATTTGGATTGATGGCTGAAATAATTCCACATGAAAGTAATTTTAACCAGGCCCAAACCTCTGCGTCAGGCTTCCCTATCTGCTATTTGTCATGCTATTGTTAGAGGACTCCAGCGAAACAAAAAAGGTCACGATGAGAGCAGACATAACCCTGCAGAAGGAGGAGAGTGCATCATGAAAAAAGGCATGGTGAGGGAAAAAGGGGGTGGGGGGACTAACTATGGTAGCAAGGGGTAAGATTTGTTGGGTTTATATGTAGCAGCAGTGGGCACCAAGAGAAACAGAAACAAGGAGAGAGAGTGGGGGAAAAAAAGCTGAGCAAGAGCAGCAGGAGGATTGCCCACAGGAAGCAGCATAATGTCAAGCTCTGGTCCCGGCTAATCTCTTGCAGTGTCCGTCATCATGTAGTGGTTGCTGGGTTAACTCCTGTGCCTCAGTGGACCTCCGTTCAATTCCTTTTCCTTTGAGCGTTTCAGCTTGGCTAATTTCAGCTGAGTGCGGGTCTGTAGACAGTGTGGGGTGATTGATCTCACTCATTACAGGACTGAATGTTTCCACTCACACAGCACAGTATTTGTTAGATAGTGGGCCACTAGAGAAATCCCTTCCCTCACTGCACATGCTCAGTAGGATACAGCTTTTCACCTGGGCAGGCTAACTGAATCTGTAAACTAGCTGTGTCCAGACAAACAGCAGAGGGAATGTTTGCAATTTTTAAGAAAGTGCATGTACAATATTTTCCAGTTTAATAATATTCAACCTTCTTGGTGTTTCAGTTAGCCACATAGACTGTCTGAAACACAGGCATGGTCTCAATGACATTAAATACTGGTGTCTGAAAATATAGGTGGATTTAAAGCTCAGCAGTGGTGATTGTCTTGTTGGTAACGCTGACTAAGGTGGGCTTTAAGCCTCCTGTGAAACACCCTCTGTCAACATGCCAACACACCTTATTATACCAATTAATTTGCTGGCAGGGGAAAAGTGAAACACAAGACCAAAGTTGAGGATTCTTTGGTTTTTGTTGTCTGCTTCAAGTGGACACTTGAGAAACTGCACTTTTCTGCATTAGCTTCTATAGTAAGCGTTTCCACTTGTTCTTAGTTGGAAGGTCAGTGGTTTGATATCCTTGTGTGTTAGAGTCTTGCGGCAAGATGCTAAACTTGAATTTTTTCCAGTGTTTGAATGGGGTGCAAATGGTCGATATAACCTGTAAAGTGAAAGCACTTTGGCAGTCAGATGATTAAAGACTTACTCTCCCCAGGTACAGAACAGAGAGGTTCAGGCGCTCCTTTTTCCCCACAGCCATCAGACTGTTTAACAGGCCTGATTGAGGTGTAGCGCACGCGCGCGCACACACACACACACACACACACAGGATGTTGCACGGTGCAGCACTTTAATATTTAGGTTTTTATCTTTTTTTACTGTCAGAACTAGTTATTTGTTGTCATAACTATTTATTTTGATGATACCTCCTGAATGTACTGTCGTATGTGTTGCTGCTGTGACAATATGAATTTTTCCTTTGGGGGATCAATCAAGTTTTATTCTTTTCTATTGTATTCCATCTAAGTAAAGTTAATTAACTATTACAACACGCAAAATTAAAATATAAGTAACATAATCCAAAAATCAGCTCCTGTCTCTCCGATTAAAACTTGTGGTCCTACATGAGTATTGGAGGTGTATCTAACATCCCTGATATTGAAAAAGTCTGCAGCGATGTTCAGAAATAAAGGTCACTCTGAACAGGTGAAGAAGCAGTTCTTAAGTAGGCAAAAATCGGCAGCTTTTTGCATCCAAGCCCAAAGGTTGATTGCTACATTTGGCAGAGAAATGGCGATTACCTTCATGTTATGGAAAACTTGCCAATCAGTGACCATTTAGATCTATCACGACTACAGCCTGAGACTTTAAAAGCTACCTACCATTAAAGGTTTAAGTATGTTTTGCAGCTCTTGTCAGTTTTTTGGAGGGCAAAGATGCAGCTCAAGTAGCTCCTATAATGAAAAAAGCTTCCTAACTAGCAGGTGATTTTGATCAAGTAACTGAACTACGAAACAAGCTAGCTAACCCCAAAGTTGAGTCGTTGCTGGGTGGGCATTTGTTTTGCTGCCCACACAACAGTCTGTTGACAGTGTTTTCTACTCTCAATTAACCAGTCCTTTGTGCTGTGAGAATAGAAACTGTAAGAAAACTAGGGCTGAAATGCTTCCTCGAGTACCTAGATTACAAAAAAATGATGGAGGAATTTTCTCTGCCTGAAGTACTTGTTTATAAGCGCTGATTATTTTCAAGTTGACACAACGCACTTACCTTCATGCTAGCTTCCAGCCTAACATTGCCGGTGTCGTAGCAGAAGCAGGTGACATAGGAGCTATTCAGCTCTCGGACACTAATGTCTTTAGGGACATGATGAAAGCTAATATCATCATTAGCTTCCTTACGAGCACTGCAATCCGCTAACACACATGCTTGTTCCGCGATTGTCTTTTCTATTTCTCCAAAGTCTGGCCTTCATAACGGGGCTTTGGGGGCGGAGCTTGGATTTATGACATAGGTAATCTCACTGTATGTGAGTCTGCCGTTTGGGTCCAATTACTCGAGTAATCGATGAAATATTTGGTAGAACACTTGATTACTGAAATATTTGATAGCTGCAGCCCTAAAGAAAACAATGTTTTTTGACTTGAGTCATTCTTTGCAATAGTGGAAAGCTGTATTGACCGAACACGTTTGTTTCATGTCCAACCAGAGTGGCCGTTTGCAAAGTGGTCATTCTTGTCTGGGTAAAAGCCTAGACTGACCTATTCTTTCACAGAGGATATAAGACTCTTCCATGATGCCTGAGGTTCCTTATCACAATGACTTATGAGCATTAAACTCCGGTATGAATCAAGTTGACCCTTTCGGTCGAGAACACTTTTGATAAATCCTCTCAGTCAAAACATTTATGAACTGTGAAACCCTGTGAATAAAAAACGAAGCAACCTCCACATCCATGAAATATGTGTTTGCTAAAATTTCAAGATACACCCGGGACCGAGCTAGTCTGCTGCAAGGGAAATGCAGAATATTTTTCTAAGGAAGGGGAGAGAGAGAGAGAGAGAGGACGGAGAGTCACTTCATCTCCACATCTATATTGTATGCCCTCAAGTTGTAAGAAAGCATTTCCTGTCAGTGTGGAGGCTGGTAGGTAACAGATAACTTAAAGCTTCCACCCAGGTTGCCTAAATTATTATCTGCAACTCTGGAGTCTTGTATTCGTGCCATGTCTGCGGGCTGCCTCTGTGGATATTAATACACCCGGCTTTCCCCAGGGTGGAGAGACTGAAAACTCACTGATCTCTCTTCCCTCCTTTATCACAGATGACGTGACACCTGGTACGGATCACCTCGCCTCACCCATCCTCGCTCCGTATATCACACATCAAATGCAAACATGTTCATCCCCTCCCCACACATATATGCTCTGCCTGGCACATAACCCTCTTTTCTCCTCAGTCTCACCCTGTCACTTGTCTTTTCCATGCTTCTCAGAAACCTAGTCACCCCATAGAAAGGCCACACACATAAAGGGAGCACATCCGGCCACAGCCTAATGCATGAACAGTCTAACACGACCCTGTGTGTTTCACTGGTGACCCCTCTCCAAAGCTCCAACGCTGTTAATAGCACACACCACCACCCATGGTAACACACATGCTTTGCCTCAGGATAGAGCCGTGCTGAGAAGAGAAAGCACAGAGAATAGAGACCCTAGAGGGACTGCTCATGTGGGCAAGGGTCACATAACCGCTACAGGGAGCCATAAGCGACAGTGAACTTCAGAGGCCTTGTTAGCTTGTCTTTACATTTTAAAGGTAAAATATAAAAAGTACAGCAGCTATGAAAAAAGTTTAGAAAGTGATGTAAGTGCAAGAGAAAGCTCCTGCTAAATAATGCAAAGAAATCAGTGCGATAATGCAATGAAACTAGAGCACTGACCTCATGGAGTGTTTCTTGGTTTAATAACCCACAGAGAAGTCTGCAGGATAAAGTACCGGCAAAAGGTACCAACACAGCAAACTCTACAAGTTCACTGTAGCAAAAACTTGCAAAGCAACGGCAGGCTCTCACTTATACTGGCCCAGGAATGTATATTTGAAACCAAAATACTCCTTAAAAGTTATTGGAAACCAATATTCTTCTATACAGCACTTGATCGACTGCTGTCTTTTTAAAGGTGCTTTAGAAATAAACTTGACTTAAGTCTATTTCCTCCTCGTCCTTTTCCTCCTCCTCCTCCTCCTCCTTCTTCTTCTTCTTCTTCTTCTACTATTACTACTACAACTACATCTTTTCATCTTTTTCATTTTTTATTTATTTATTTATCCTATGTATAGCACTTTGATCAACTGCTTTCTTCTTAAAGGTGCTTTATAAATAAACTTTACTTCTTTTTTTCTCCTTCTTTTTCTTCTTCTTCTTCTTCTTATTATTATTATTATGATTATTATTATTATTAATTTATTTTTATTTTTATTCCTGTTCATTTTCTTCTTCTTCTGTCGAGGTTTCGTTAACTACCCTGCTGTCTACCTTGTGCTGAGTCAAGGCCCTGTGTTGGAACTCTTGCTCAGGTCAACTTCAATGGAAGAATTCAAACGTCAGAGAAAATCTATCACCAAATGCATGATCTAAGTATATTAGCCCAACTATGAGAAATTTGATTTGATGTCATTTCAGTCTAGCTTCAGTTGGACCCTTGTCAACAATCAAATTTTTGAACAACATGTAATTATACTGAGTGTATAACACACTAGAGCAAATTAGTTTCTCCTCTGAAGGCGACAACTAAGGGCAAAATGAAGAGGGAGGCGGTGGTGGTGTACAAGAGTCAGAGCTGGATAAATATAAATATAAAAGATAAAACAAGTTTAAAAAAAAAAGTGCACTGCTTCATCACCAGCACAGTTTGTCTTAGTACATGCTCACACTGGGAATTTCGTCACCGGTCATACTCATAGCTTCACTCAGCGAAGTGATCTGAAATAAACTGGTAAAAGTGTTACCTAAAAGGCCAACTTGTGAAAGAAAACAGACTTGAAATCAGACGCTCTGTGAGATCATAGTTTAAAATAAAGGAAAGCTAATTATGTCATATGAGGATAACTTTGGGGAAGTTTCTCTAGAAGACTAAATATGCACTGTCTGTGTTGCCAGAGCTTAATTTAGCTTCCTCTTTGGTGCCATAGAGCTCCATTGTTGTCCAAAAAACACATCAATTATCCACGGTGTTGCACTGGCTGACATGTTCCTTCATTACAGTGAATATGAGCGCTGTAGTTTATTTTGAGAGAATCACGGCAGCATAAATACTCATGAGTGTACCAACTCCACGGCTGAAAGTATTCCTCAGGAAATGCACTGCAGTTTGAGTGATATTTCTGACATATTTGTGAGATTTACATCTTCAGTGGGAACAAATGGCTTACAGCTAAATGTGACAAGTAGAGTAGAAAAGTGGGAAGTGCTAAAAGACAGACTTGCACATTGATTTTGATCCTTCAGTCTGATCCGCTGACAAGAACCAAAATAAAACAGCATTGTTCAGCTTTTCGCACTCGTGGTGTAGCTCGACAAGCAAAGACAGCCTCATGACCCTCAACTCGCACTCTGTAATGGCCCCTTTGTGATCATTCTAAGCCAACAAATCAGAGTCATGTTTTATGGCCAATGTGAACCCTTTTATGGGTCCGTGAGGTGGTCAAGACTCATGTGATCAAAGGGAATCATAAAGTCACAGACATGCACCCGCATACACACACTCCCATTCCCATTCCCATTCCCACCATCTGCCTCAATCATCGGACACAGACATTGACAGCTTTGGTGAAAATGGGCAAAGATAATCTTCCATGGAGACAAAATTGGAAATATTGGACAGTTTGAATGTGGGGCAGAGCTCAGTAATTTATCAATGGCTATTTCAATGTCTCACATTTTTGGCAGAGGCTGGGCTATTTTAATTATAAAGCAAAGCCAGCTTTAATCACCTCAATCAAAGGGTTTCAAATCTGCATAATCACCTGCTCACTTTACATTCTTCAAATTATGACATGACATCCAACTAAAGAATTAAACAAGTAAGCATTAAGACACAACATGAAATGATACAGCTCAACCTCTGCCTTTGACCAGATATTGGACCCTGTTATAATCAGTGGTACTGTGTGAGCAGTAAAGCACTCCTGACTCCATCAACAAGCAAAGAGGCTCCACTGGTAATGAGGAGGAGGCAGGTGCAGGTGGGAACAGAAGAGGGGGAAATACTGCTGATTCAACCAAAAAATCTGACTCAGGCCATGTGTTTTAATGGGGACTGCACCTTAGTCTATTGATACTTCTGCGATTGTTCATACGAAATGAAGCAGAGGGCTCTGCTGGTATTTATTTATTGATATAACAACATAATGTATGCTGTGTTCAAAACACCAGTATTATATGCTTTAAATTCCCTAAACTAGAACAGAAGAAACACATGAAGCCCTGTTCATAGACAGAAACTAAAGGAAAATAGAACTAAGGTCATTATAACTTACAGAGTGTGAGAACAGTAGGCCTGTAGTGTGTTTATTTGTATGACGACACAAGGCACATACAGACTTCCTGCAGTGAACCTGAGTCCACACACAGAGATGACAGAGATCTAATAAGAGTTTAATGCAGTCATGCAGTCAATGTTATCATATCAGAGTACAAGCCCAAGTACAAAAATGTAAAAATCCTACCAATTTATGCTCTGAAATTACAAAAATATTATAATTACCATTATTATTAGAAATAATACATTTTTGCCTGAAAAAAATGTTATAATTTTGAGGAAAACAATCAACTTTTGAATACTGATAGAAAATGACTGGAGCAAGTTAGAACAAAATGGCTGTCCTGTTATGAAAATTGAAGCCTTGCACTCTCCTTTGATGCCTTTATTATTCAAATAGACAAAAATATTTTGAGAGCTAGACAATTTACTAGATTTGGTCAAAAATGCTTGTGGTGGCTTGTAACTTTTTCATGGACTGCTGGCAGGAAATGCCTCTGATTTGATGTTTGCTGACAAATTCAAGTATTCTTATCAGTTTATTTACCAGATGGATGAATAAAAATCGTATCATTTCAGTTCAAGGCCACAAACATTTGCCCACTTATATATCAATATTAGATTAGTCAATGTTGACTTAAGTATTAACAGATTTTCTCTCAGATACAGATGGTTAAGGTCATCACATGAAAATAGGTTAAATGGTGGGGTCATTAAATAAGTGTCATTTATTTATCCATTAGAAAAACAAGTAGTTAATGAGGTGAGGTGGTAAGGCCTGCTGCAATGACATCTGTCTTTCTCTCTTCCGCTCTCTTTTCTCTATTACAGATGGTGATGCATTGCATTAGCCACAGGAAACTCTGATTAATACTGGGAACAGTTACCAGAATATCCTCAGATTAATATGAGGCCCTGAAGTTACACAGCTGCTCACCAAGGCCTTCAAAGCTTTTAGACATGTCTATTTCAGAGCCTTTTTCCCCTTATCCCCTTTTCGCTTTTCTCCTTAAAACCACACATAGACACTCATAGACACACTCAATTATACGCACAATGGCGGGTTTGTTCATGTTCATGTGGTGTAAATCGGTTTTTTATTCTTCCCTCCCAGATCCTGCATTGTAATACAGCTGAGAGCGTCAGAGAGATCTACAGCATTGACTGTCCTTCTCCTCTCCCTCTCACACACCCACATGACACTGACTATTTAATCCTCTCTGCCCTGATCAGCTCCTCACACTTTTTTAGCTGGAACCCCCCCCCCCCCCCCCCCCCATATCTTTAACCCTTAAATGTCCTGTGTCAGTGGCCCCGTTTACATGGTTAGTTTTCCTCAATCTGATTGAAATCAATCGGATTAAGTGAATCTGATTCCATCTGTATACATGAACCTTAAGTAAAGAGATCCACGTTCAGTCCGCGTTTTCATGGCCCCAGCTGAATCCAATTGTATTGTATTGTATCAATGGGGATTGTTAATAGGAACCATTGTTTTAGTTCTGTTTTAGAGTTGCGCACGGACGTGTTTGTGTGTGACACCGCTGGAGTTACCAGACCGAGCAGAGTAAGGAACCCTATGTGTTGAAGTTTAATAAAAGTATAATCCAGCCGGGTTACACAGCAAGAAGTGTACGCTTCGTCAGTAGCACGAAACAACACACTTTAACACTCCACCGTCCAGTTTTTCTGTTTGTTCGCCATGTTTGTTTTCGTTTGGGCGTGCTCTGCATACGTCACTACGTGCCTCTTACGTACTACCGAGCGCCTGTGCATACCGAACAAGCCTCTCTGTAAACACAATCCGCTCCACTCAGCCGTATATATGGAGCATGGAGCGGATTATCAATAATTGATAATTGTCCTTCTATGTGTGATACCTTCTGATGTGTGACTCACTGGACCATGGGAGGATTACCAGGTTTTATGGTTTTAAGTTTGATATCATGTTATTTACATCTGCAGTAACAAAGTGTGTTTTTAAGTGAGTAACAGGTTAAACTTTCTGAATTAATTGCAAAATATGTTTACCATTACATGCCTTAACAACGACATGCCTCCTTTACATTCTCAACAGGGCCAGATTCACATACGCTAGTCTGGTTGGGTCCATTCTGAGGTATAAGGGATGCTTATCAGATACCCTGGATGTTCAGTATTGTGGCAGTAAAAAAGAGACCAGGGCTTGTGCACTAAGCTCTAAAACAGTGACTATTCTTTTTTATGAGTAACTGACCAAAGATGTGATGGTTCATAAAAGCAAATGCATGACACATGAGTTTATACGCAGTCTAATTTACACTCCACAACCATGAAGAGGGACAAAGGCTGAACGGCTATTTATTAATTTTTCATGCTGTCCTCATTGATTCCATGTAAGCTGTCATACATTGTAGTACAAATTGTTCCAAGCCCTGCAGTGTGGTAACTGCATCCAAAGCAGAGTCTGATCTAAGTGGGGGTCCCTGAGGACCTTTTTGCTATTGATACCCGGAGACGAGTGGATTGGGCAGAGATTTCGCAGTGTATCCGTGCCTCTTCCTCAGACACATCGTCAATATTCTCTTTCGTCTTCCCGTCTTTGTTTTCTAAACGCTCCTCAGCCCAGCTGGGAATGCACCTTAAAGGCCATGGTGGCTTGAACTAAATGAAAGATACTGTCCTCGTATTATTGAACAGCTTGTTAGCACCTCGCCCACAAAGTCATCCCTTTTCATTTGGTTCGAGAAAATACACCAGGGTTGAATCTATCTGTGTGGCGTGCCACCGAGTCGACCTTCATCATGTGTTCTAATAGTTCACTTCTTCTGGTGCCTTCGTGCAACATATCTGAGAGGAAGTGTGGAGGAAAATCACTCGTTGCTGCTGGATGTAGTTCATCTAATGAGTCGCTCGATATTTCTGACTGCTAGTGTCTGGGCTTGTTTTTTGTCAATATCTGTAGCATTTGATTTCAACCCTCCTGTTATCCCTCCAACTCTTTTTTTCCCTCTTTCCTCAGTTCAGTTTTTTTCCCTCTCATTTTGCAGTAGCTCTCATTGTCTTGTTACCATCTAAACATGCATGAAAACGAATGATGTAACAGCAAGTCAGAAAGAGAGCAAAAGTCTTGTCTCGGGACACTTTTTTTACCCCTTATTGTTTTAAAGGTCCCATATTATGCAAAATTTATAATAGAAGACTGCAAGAACATAGAGATACTATACTTGAAATATTGCGCTTTCACCAAAAGAGCTCCAAGTAACGAGAAGACAGTGGAGATATAACTGTTAGCAGGAGCTAATGTTACCTAGCTACATGTAAGTCACTGTGTACCGACACACGTACAAAGTAAAAATAAATAAATAAATAAAAAATTGAGACACATAACATTTTTAACTAACCATTCAGAAACATTTCTTCAGGAGCCTCTCCTTCTGGGTCAGACTCTGGATCAAACTGGCACGGCTAGCGCTAGCACTATCACTAGCACTGTGTGTAAACATTAGCGTATGGTACTGTACTGCAAGCCATGACCCCCTCTTCCAGAGAGACAGGGAGGGGCATGGCTTGCGCTGAGGGAGGCATGAACAGGCGCAACACACAGAAACAGCGGTTTCTCGGTAGAACTCACTGGAGAGAGTTTTCAGGCTGGCTGAAGTCCAGGAAAAAAAATTGGTTTTTAGACAACAAACTTAAAAGTGACTGTTCTGAGACCTCTGTGAACCTGCTGAAAAGGAGAGTAGTATCGGCACCTTTAAATCAAAAATGGTCATTGCCGAACAACCTTTCTAAGGCTTTATCACCATATTTCCAGACAAATCCTGCTCTGTCTTCTGTTATCTCCTCTTGCTTCATCACATATTCCATCAGTTTACTTTCCCTCACAAAGCTGGAAAAAAAGGGCATCCTAATAAAATGCCAAGGAATTTATAGCAGAGAGGCCAAGGTTTCTCTTTACCATGGGCATGTCCTGTTTACTTCACAAAGGACTTGTTTTATGCGTTGAAATCATGAATAATAATCATGATGATGGAGGCTTCGTCTTGGCACTCCATCACAGCTTGAAGTCCTGCTATTACTGGACACATAAAAACCAACTGCAGACAGATAGAGGTGCGGAGAGATAGAGATTTACTTACTGATGTGACAAAGTTTTTTCTTACTCTCTTGGGAGGGGACCATCTCTCAGAAAGTGTTTGGCATTTTTGGCCACTAATTATGCTTAAGTTTTAAATGTGATTGGAGCCACACAAACAACAAAAAAAAGTGATAGATTGATGCAGCTAAAAGGAAAAGAGAGGGAGAGATGGCAGATGTGCATAGGGGGAGTAAAAGATGCACAAAAGATAGGAGGAGGAGTGAACCAGAGGGAGGAAGAAGCAGCAGCAGGGGAGGTGTTGAGTGGAGGAAAAGATGACAATGAAGGGGAGGTGCTGGCAGCAGGAAGAGGATGATGAGGAATGATGCATGAAGAGCAATAAACAGACGCAGAGGAAAAACAGGGGGAGTCGAAGATAGACAGAGGCCTATGGAGAGGACTGATCGATAGTTGATCCGGGGATGGAAATTAAGAGATTACAGCTTTGGATGTTTCTCAAGAGAGGAAACTGATGGATGGAAAGCCGCATGGAGGGAGAGAATTGTAACACAGTGGGAGAGAAAGAGACAAAAATGAAGGAGTAGGTGCCCAGTGCTGTCACAGCAGTGCTAAAGATTTCTCTGTTCGACTTGTGACCTTTCAAAATGGACAGCAGGGCGTCTCGCTGCAGTCATCATTCTCTCCTCTAATTTGGAGTGGATACAAACAAAAAAAAATTGCAAATCCATCTGCAGCAATTTCCCCTGCAATTACAATTTCTTACTTGTGAGGACTGCAAACAAATCTGCATCTCAAATAAGTGTATCAAAGCCTCCCATGAAGATCATGGCTGTGAAAAAATAAAAAGACATCAGCTCCCACTGTGTGCTAATGCTCCCATCTGTGCTTTGGGAAGCACTTTCTGGATTTTTACTCACACAAACACGCCATCACATATGTCTTGTTAATCCCATTCTACGTCCAGCTAATGCTAAGAAGCCTCTTCCTCGATGCACATTCACACCAAGATGGCTTTATTTATTGTCAGTAAAGTGAAGCCCATGCCGAGCCTTTACTCAGTCATGAGTCATGCAAGAGAATACAATTAGGAATCTAGCAGTTACAACACTTTTGCTTATTCTTCTCACACTTTTACTTTGGCCTTCAAGGGATGACTCACCTGCGTTTTAGCAGGGATAAAATTGGATAAAAGCCATAGACCGGATAAAACACGGACGTAGGCTTAGTGAGGTCACCCACTGGTTTCTGAGAAGGAATTATGAAGCCAAATTACTGTAGTTGCCATGTGTGGAAACTCTGGGTATAACACATGTACCTGTCTGTCAAGTCCGCCACACTTAATGTCTAACTGCACGAAACCTGACGCACTCTTCAAAGCAATAAAAAAATTAAGTAAAAATTAAAAAAATCACTGCTGTGGGAGTCCTAAGCTACTCAGACCATTACTGCTTTTCAAACTAGGCTGTAAACCTGTTTATCGTGGCTTTTTCACTTGGGGGATCTGCAGTTATTTCACAGTTTCACATCAGCTCATTTCTCAAGACCAGAGATTGCAACTTGGTTTTACCATTGGTGGTAGTGGGATAGCCTTGGCTTACCTAGCTAGTTTCAAATGGACATTTAAGAAAGTGCAATTTTTCACACCTGCATTGCTTTTACTACTCAAGACCAGAATATGTCCACTAGATAGACAATAGCCAAGTTAACATGTCAAAATGTTGACAAATGGTAATTGGCAGGTCAGACCGAACAAATTTTACCATTTAGGAATGCAGACTCGGTTTTGTCAGGAGAATCCATAGACTATACACGATGGACAACTTGGTTCCGTCTACCGCTAGTATATGGATTGAAAGCCGAAAAGCTCTCGTTATTTCTGCAATTTTTCTCCTCTTCCTGAAACCAACATTGTGTAGTAGCGTTGTACGCAATCCACTACTTGCACTGTAGCATTGTACGCATTCGGTGGGAGAGTTGCTGTGATGACGCTCAGCTCAAACAGCGTATCCCCCAGGTGAGCTACGCAATCTTCGTACGCCCATAGGCTGTATCAAGCGTCAATCAAAGAAAAGAGGACTTGAGCACAAACCAGTCTTACAGTAACTACATGCCGACATCGCAATCAGGGGGGAGAAAAATGTATATTCTGTGTAATAAATTTCTAAAGTTTGTCCAGAGCTCCATAGGGATTGCGGGATTTATGACCTATACTGCAGCCGTCACCAGAGTGCGCTAGTCTCAGAGTGGCTTTACCCAGCGAGGAGGCAGACGGCGTCCATTCTATATACAGTCTATGGGAGTATCTCATGTAGCTGTCTAATGTGTTGTTTTCCTGGTTTCTCTTTTTTCATCCAGCATGAGACCAAATTCGCACATTTGCCTAAATTCAAGATTTTTCTTCCTTGTCAGAATGAAGATATTTTTTTACCTGCACAGCCAGGGCCAAGCCTGTTCTGAGTGCCTTATTTGGAAACTGTGGCATCCATGCCTCTGCTAGCAAAGCGCTTGTCTCTAGGTGCTGAATTATCATCGCTGGCTGCCTTGACACGCCTGGGCATAATAGGGAAAGAGCAGCAGAGGGAGGGGGAGAAAAAGAGAGAAAGAGAGCCATACAAAGTTGTGTAGAGGTTGCTTGTTTCACTTCTGGTGCATGATCCAGGTGACAGGTGCTGGTGCAGAAAATGGCAGTCCTCACAAGGCTCCACCTTAGGGGGCTGCTGTCACCAGAGTACAGGTGTGTGTGTGTGTGTGTGTATAGCTATAAGGGTGTGTGTGTGTGTTTGTGTGTGTGCGCTTGAAGGCTGCCACAGTTTATTATACATCAGGATCTCAACATTGTACGTGTTTGTACACTTTTGCTGCGGTGCGTTCTTCACTGTACGTGTGCGTGTTTGTGCGTGTATGTGTGTGTGTGTGCGTATTTGCATTATGACAGTAATACTCCATGACAGAATGATCACACCCTTCTCCCCACTGCTCCGAGGAGTCTCTCAGCTCCACTCCTCTCCCTCCACCGCCCCACAGGAGCTTTGTGCTTCCACATATGTCAAAGCCAGTTTCCTGTGGGCAGCAGCACTCCTCTGCATCTCCTTCTCTCACTCTCTACCTCCTTCATCCCTTCTCTCTCTCCTCCCGCCTGCCCACATAATCTCAGGAGCCTTTTCAATGCTAAACAACTACACTAACAGAAATCACACACAGGAGAACATATGGACCCATGACATGACGGCATTAAGCCATTCTGTCCATCTGGCCTGCTGTAAGTTTGTCGTCGTGACTGCCTACTGTGCTGCGCTGCCTCTCCTGGGGCTCATAATGAGGAGGAGGTTTTTATAAGACTAATTATATCCTTATTTGTTACCGTTTAATGAGCTGAGAGAAGTTTTAAACACAGACGTGCAAGCCAAAAATAAGACTGTTGACATCTGCCTGACAGTCTGCTGCAAGAAAAATGACTTCATGCTTTTATAATGTAATGAAAGTCCCCTTCATGTAGTTTCTTAGGGGGGAAAACATAGAATGAAAGGATAAAACATGAGTTTATGATTAAGGATTTCAAGATGAGCAGTGCTTGTTTAATCTTGCAAAAAGAGGGAATAAAAATATCACGTCAGAGATGCTCCTGTAGGGAGATTACATTCTTGAGTGATCATATTGCATATCTCAATTTTAACAAGTAATTAAATGTGATATTGAAGCTTCAAATCATTTTTTTTTCTCTTTCTATCTGGTAGAAGTGATGAAATGTGCCAGTGGCTTGAAATAATTTCACTTGTTTCACTGCAATTTATCTAGTTTGCAAGGGGGGGAAAAAAAAGAAAAGGCTGCAAGACTCAATTCACCGTTTAATTACTTAGCTGTTCAAGCTTTTTGGTGCATCACCCTGTCTTTGAAAAATCTTTCCTCTCTACCTCCTTCTTCCTCATCTCCATCCAGTAAGAATCCTTAGCAGTTAGCCGCCACTTGGACCATAAAGCATCTAACCGGCATTAGTCCATTTCCAGTCAATTACTCCCTCTAAATCACGGCTTCCAATAAAGAGTGAACTGGTACTCTCAATGGAGGGATGTGGTGTGCAGGTGCTTGGGTTGTCACATCATAAATCTCCCTCTATCGTTTAGCGACCCATGCGAGTCATTACAAAAGGTGCACTGGACAAAAGTTCCCGTCCTTGACTGCCGGCCTGATAAGGTTTGAGAGGTGCCTCCTTGCATTTCAGCAGAGGTGACGCGTGAGGCATCGCAAGTGTGAGCCCGGCTGACAAAGACTCGCAGGGAGTAGGGTGAAGGGGGGAGAGAAACAAGGGCTCCCCGTGTGCCTCTAATGTAATTGCCTGGACCACTTCATCATAAACAAAGCACTAGTGTGTAGCGTTGGCTTATCTGCCCTCCAACCACAACTCCTCCCGCAACCCCTTCCATCCCCCCGTGACGCTATCTCAGAGAGCGGCTTAAGGATGGGCTTTGGGCCACATCGATACTTGCCAGCACAGATCAACCTGTCAGCAGGAGGAGGGCTCTTGTGCATGACAGAAGTGATGCTCAGTGTGAAAAAAAAAAACAAGACGGAGATGACAATGAAGCCGAAATAGCTTTTCTGATATTATTTTATACGAATAGAAATGGTCTGTGTTATGTTAATGCATCAATACTAATGGCAGTCACAAGAGTCGGTCATGTTTCTGCATCAAATTAGTTTATACTTTTCCTACCTTGCAGCACTGGTTTCTTCTACGGTATGTGTGACTAAAATCAAGACTTGGATGACTCTAAGTTGGAACTTAGTTTGACTTTCAACTGAGCCAGTAGACTAAAATCAGATCTTTTCCTTCCTTCCTCTAGAATTTGCTGTTTCACTGCACTGCAGTGCACCCCAAAACTTCAATTAATTCAAAACGCTCCTGCCGGGCATTACAACGCAACTTTTCGTTGCCCTTCATTGGCTCCCTGTGAGATTTAAAATTGATTTTAATATTTAACTGCTTGGTTTTAAAGCCTGAATTGGCCAGGTTATGGTCGTTGAGCTTCAAACCCCTTATGTGCCTGACTGCAGCACCAAGGTCTTTTAGAAGGGCCCTGCTCGTGGTTCTTAGGTCCTGACTGGTCACGAGAAAGACCCCAGCATTTTGCAGTTAGTCCTCCACAGATGTGAAATGCCCTGATAAGCAAACTCTGTCCTCTTTAAAATCATTGGCTTTGTTGTGTGTTTTTAATAATGAAAGTGTCTGAAAGCACAAAGTAAAGTAAAATTAGTTAGGGGTCTGTCCGAGGGATTATGGTTTAACTGTCTCCTTGAGTAGAGACATCCCTTCTATTTAGCAGACTGTTGTTTTCAGTGTTTCTGTTCTGGCTAGCTTACCGGTGTGGTTGCTGATCTTATCAGGTAGCGCTGATTGTTACATCTTTTTGGCCTGTTTGTTTTTATCTTTGTCTTGAATGGTGTCCTTGGGTGTTTTGAAATGCGTCTATATGAATAAAATGTACTATAATTATTATAATGATAGTTGTGGGGAACAAGGAAACCACTGCCTGTGACCACCTCACCATCAACTGGTCAATTTTCATCTCAAATTGGGGTCTTTTCAAGCTTTACTTACTCCATAGTTCACTGCAGATTTCTTCAAATGCTGGAGTTTGACCCCATGAGGGAAAAGTGGAACCACTTTACTGGTTCCCCTCTCTTACGGGCCCAGCTTTGTCCAGAAAAGCAGCAGCTTAAACTCCTCAAACTGGATTGGCGGCCACACACAACTTAATGTAAATGTTAATGTTAAGACATACCCATAGGGGCTTTCCGATCACTCTCTCCACCACATTGTGAGAACTGAGTGCTTTGAGTACTTCATGAAGTTTTCCTCAGAACATATATAAGATAGATATTCTGTGCTTCAACTGAGCTGCGCTGCTATAAATGTGAATCATCCTCTCAACATGAAGGAGTCAACTACACATAGTGGATCCACAGTGCCGTCCCTGCACCTTGTGTTTCTAGCTTGTTCATTAACCTACACCTATTCATCAGGTACAGTCACAGACTCCTGTGTAATGTTTTATTCTATAAAATATACAGACACTTTACCCCGATGGATAGTTCATGATCAAGTGCCAGAGAAGTACTTCTATACTTGATACAAGAGGCCACAAAACCCCATCATGTGAAAAGGAAATAAATGTTATCCCAGTCATAGTCAGGCCTGAGGCCTACAGGTTATTTGCCAATGAAACCAGACAGTCCACATGTGAGGCGGCAAGTGCAATCTCCTTTTATTCAGTTTAATTTCAACAGAGTAAAAACAAACATAAAAGGGTTCAGGAAGATATCTCTGAGAAATGTAGTTGGTGTGAAGGTACGTCCCAGAGCCTGAGGTTTTCCACCACATAGAGGGATTTTCTTCTTGTTCACACATCAACATGTCATTTTGATGAAGCAGAGTGCCGTCCTTGTCTTGCCTGTTGGTGAATTTGCTGATCACGGGATTGTCCAACTCTGGACCCAGTGTGTCCTGATACACTCACTTGTTTCAACTGACTGCACCTTCTGTTTTTGTCCACTTTTCAAATGAACACAGCTATGGAAGCACAGATCCAGATAACTTGCTTTGTTCAGCGTTATAAATGCCTTTTTTTTTCTACACTAAACCACTGCTCCATGTCGGTGATAATCTTTGTCCTTATCACTGTCACTGTGGGTGGTTCATTGGCATTTGTTCAGGTGGGAGGGCAGAATATGTTTTCAAAGAAGTACAGCCAGTGCAGTTGGATATGTGTCAGTAAACAGTGCATCTGCGGCCACTTTGAAAGTCTTGGGAACTTTGATTAAACATCTGTTGTTATGAGTTTAGGTTCTGTCAATATTCACACAAAGACAAATAGTACAATAATACAACCTAAGAGACCTGTTATATTCATTTTCACCTTTAATTATGCCAGTCAGGGACACTTTGAAGTAACTGTATGTCAACATACGATACAGTCTACCTGCATTTCTTTCCGGGACAATAAAGTATATCTTATCTTAAGTCATTTTGCATCATTTGCAGCTTCAAAAACTCATTATTTATCTTATACTGGCAGAGGATCGCTGTTATCTCCTACATTACCTCCCCATTTAGCTCTGGTACCATTTGTTAGTCATTGATATGATAGTTTCAAACTCAAAGTTTGTGGTTGCAAGCCTTTATGAAAAGTCTTTATTGATAGAACAGCTTTAGGTTTCAGCAACAACTCCATTGCAAATCCAGCTCATACTGGCCTCTGTCCACAAAGGAGTCATCAGTGAAGTGGCAAGTTCTTTATTGTGTCTGAGGCTCTGTTATACAATTCTATAACTCTATCAGTGATGGTTTCACAGCCCATAGCTGAGATAAAACTCTCTAAATGAGCACACATGAATCATAGGCACTGTAGCTTTTATTCTTTCACTGTCTATATTTTATCCCACTGTTTTTAATTTTATTGTCTTATTGTTATCTATTTATTTTATGTATGGTACTTTGTTTGTCTGCTGTCTTCTTAAAGCTGCTTTGTGAATAAAATTGACTTGACTAAAGCCCGCCCATTCATCTATATTGATGGATTGATGTTATTGCATATAGATAAAGTTAATTCCTGTATGTTTTGGCACTTGTGCTGCAAGGGGTGTAAGAAATGACCCAAGGCATGGCTGTTTGAACTGAGCTCCAGCACCACATGCTCCTGGTACAGATTCTTGTAATATCAAAGTAACTCCTTACTGGTAGGCCTCCCTGCATGCACATGCAAACCTCTGCATATGATCCAGAATGCTGATAGGACTGAGTATAAAACTGAATTTGTGGATGATCTGATGTCCATATACTTGTATGGGTTGTGACTTATTACAGCGATAATGTTTGAAAGTCTGCAGGGTCGCAGTAAAAGAATAAAAATATGAAATAAAAACAAATAACTTCAGTGGAACTTTTATTACTGACTTTCACTTGTGTATTTGACTGCGTTCGCATCTGATTTAACAATTCCTCCCCTAACCCTTTTATATATGTGCAGACAAAGAGGCCGCATGGATAGCCTGGGGAGAAATTTGGGATGTGCTTAAGTGTGTGTGTTTGAGTGTGTCTGAGTGTGTGTGTGCTTGTTGCCTTTGTGTACCCATGACACGATAAGCAGGCTCTGGTTGACTGGCTGAGTGGCCTTGCATTAGACGCCGCCTCAGACCAGGGCTCCTATCTCTAATGGCTTTCTCCTCCTTTTCCTATCAGGACTCTTGTTGACAGTGTACTACACACACACACACACACACACACACACACACACACACACACACACACACACACACACACACACACACACACACACACACACAGCATCCAATCTAAACTCATGTTGACTTTGTACTACATGCAGGGACACATGCAACGTAGAAGCTCGATACACACAGAGAGGTTTGATACAGCTCCATTTACCTGCTGTTTATTGTGCTGTTGCATGTGTGTGCTGCCGTATATTCATGTCTATGAGAGCAAGACGAAAAACGAAAAGAAATCTTTCCTCTCAGATCATCTCTGCTGATCGATTCGTCTTTCACCACCTTGCCCCCCTACCTTGCTCAGCCTCTCTTGATTGCAGTATGCACGCAGGGCCCAGATTGATTTATTGCAGGGTTTCTCCATCCCGATACCCCCACTGGCATTTTATTTGGTACATGCCAAGTTAAAGTTGATCCATATCTGAGCCGACCAACATCCCCAACCTGTCTGCTCTTGTGATCTCTGTGTCCTCATTGATCTGACTCTCAGCTTGCGAAGAGGAAGGAGCTGTGAGCTGCATAATTGCACACATTTCTGTGCTCTGATGCAGGCGGAGGAGTGGAGGTTTTTTAAGAAATATGAGGAGTAGCCGGTTTTCCCTCTGAAATGATAAAGCAGAATATATGACCTGCAGTTATGATATAGACCTGAATCAGAGGACAACAGCCAAACAAAAAATTGTGCCTTCGCAAGCACTTTGCCCACACCCACCTAGATCCTTTCAAACACTATCTCTACCTTTGATATCTCTCTGAACATCATCTATGCTTTTTCTGATGGTGTGTGATATCTGGCTTAAGAGAAAAGGTGGTGTAAGGTGGGGAAAACAAAAAAGGAGAGAGAGTGGAGGGTACAATATAACATAAAAAAGAGTTATGGCAGACGAAGCGATAGATGCCAAGCATTGTCTGCAGTGCAGTAAGTGAGCAAATAGTCCTTTATAGCTTGATGTAGTTGGCGGGGGGCCAATGGAGGAGTCATTGCCTCCAGTCCTTGAATATTCTGCTTCCATTAGAGTAAAGAGACCACATACTTAACAGTCCTTAACAGGCCTTTGCGCCTGATACTAAGGAGACTCTTTGCTATCACTTGATGGAAAAACAGACTACATTTGAATGCTTTTAGTTATGCAGAAATGGATGAGACACTTACTTGTTTTTGACAACAGCGATAAAGTCAATTTACATTACAAACACAATTCAACAGGTGCTCGGCTTTAAAGCAAAGACCAAAATAATCTACTCCAGGATGACCTGCGAAGAGATATCAGTACAGGTATATCTGAAAAACCCAAGGGACACGGAATGCAAGTGGAGTGCGAATTTCCGCAGTGCTGTACGAATAAAATAAAACTAAAGCCAAGGAGATGGATGGATGAAAGGATGGTTTGATGAATAATTAAAAAAAAGGATTCATCAACAGTTGAATGGATGAATGGGGGGTGGTAAAATGTACGTATGTTTGTGTGGATGGATGCAAGGATGGATTAATAAATTCATAGATGATTTATTGGATGTATATTGGATGAACAGATTCATGGACAATAATTGAATTAATGAATGGGCGGATAGTTGGGTTGAGCGAACGAACTAACGAAAGAAAGAAAGAAAGAAAGAGAAAGAAAAAGAAAGAAAAGAAACATTTAGCAGAGAATTAGTTTGTGTTCTTTCACATAACCAGCCATGATCTTTAACTATTATTTGTTGTGAAATAAAGTCTTTGTACAGATTTGAGGGTCAGGTTAACTCCATGCTTTAGCCTAGATTCTGGAGGCCCAATCAAAACTGACATTTTCTAAGAACTTAGGAACCCAAAGCATGGTATGAATACCAGGAACATTAGAAAAAACTTCACATTTGAAGGGCAAAAAATGGAGATCACCATGTTTGAAATTCTAATATCTTGAAACTTTCAATGCAGTCAACCAAAAAGTAGGCAAAAAGCTGTCACTGAGCTGGTTATTTCAACACTGAAAAACAGTGATTGGATCCCCCTTCAGGTCTCGACCTAAGGAACAGCAATTTTTTGGCACTTCCACATTGGCTATCGTTCAACACCTCAAATAAGTATTAAAATTGAAAATGACTATATAGCTTCATAAAAACAAGTTTATCAGTGTGAATATTGACTATCTTGTTTTTGTAGTGAATATAATTAAATATAGGTTGAAAAAGATTTGCAAATCATTGTATTCTGTTTTTTTTTATTCACGCTTTGAACAACGTCCCAGGCCCAGCTATATTGGAATTGTGGTTTGTATGTGATTTAATGGACTGACCAGTGAAGACTGATCATTTTTCTGCTGTTTTCACTTTAGTATCAGTCACATTGAGATGCCAAAAGACTTCAAATGTTGGCTTCCACGGCCAGAAAGCAATAACCTAATGTACCACTGGAATAAATTATCAGGCTGTAAAACTTTATCACCGGATTAGGAAAAGCACAACCCAAATCAGTGTCAGAGTACTCATTTATGAAATATAACCACGTTTGAAGGAAGTAAATGCAGAAATACCCAGTAGTTTATTTATTTATTTATTCAAACTTGGACCAGCACTTAAAGAAAAGTGGCTAAGTGAGCAAAATGCCAATGGAAGACAACATTCAAGGTTGAAATAACAGCAGAATTATTTCTTAAACTGCACTTAAGCTGCACATATTTTCCCCTCCCACCTTGCAGAGTGATTCAGAATAATATGCAATAATGACTACGCCTCGTCTTGCATCTCAGTCCATTTAATCCTTCTTGGAAAACTGAAGAATAAATCAATGGAGTATTAAGAAAATCAACAAATGTTACATAAAATAAAAAGGCACTGCAGAGCCTACAGTGATGGATTATAGCTTCAGAAGTACTTCTCCTGCCAACATAATATCTAAGCTTCAAACAAAAGACAGAATTTGAACAAATTCATGTAAGAGGTTGACTCAAAGGAAACTTCATGTAATTTATTATTCTCCGGTGAGTTTGAAATAGACGATTAAGTAAGCATTTGCCTTTTTTATTCTTTTTTTTTTCTTTTGAGAGAGCCTCATAAGCTGCTGCACACCCTCGGGTAACTCGAGGCTCACCGATAAAGCTCCTTCAGGGGTCAAAATTTTAAAGACATACACTCTTATTTTCTTTGTTTTTCACCTCTTTAATCTTTTTTCTTCTTTCTCCGTTTTGACTGCAGAAAAAAAAAAAAAGATCTAATCAAGTGCACTATCTGTTCAGAAGAGGTGACTTTGCTTGAGTGCACCCATGAGTGAAGGAATGATCACGGCAGGATGATAAAAAATCATAAAGTTTAAGAGTGTCCATACTGGAAATCCCCAAACTGAAAGAGGTCATTCTGTACTCTTCTGCAACTTAAAGGCCACATGGACGAATAAGGGCTGCGAGGATTATGCTGATTTGAACGTATAGAACTATTTTGGCATGGCAAGGGAGAATAAAGGAGCCATCCGCTGCATGCTAACTCTCACTGCTCATCATTTATTAATATTCTGTGCCAATTCGGACTCAAATCACCATTTTCACCCTATAAAAGACAAAGAAGTCTTACTGCTGATTGAAGCAGTTTTTAACTGTATTGGAAAAAATGTTCATCTCCCTAGTGGTCTGTACTTTATGGTGAAGCTCCTTTATTTTCCTTAGAGGACATTCGTATTGAACGGGCTCATTTGTTAAGGAAGAAGATGAGATTGGATGCCTGATAGACAGCTTGGGGTGATTACCCATTGAGGAGGAAGAAAAAGAAAAAGAAACCTTCAGTGCGTCTGCACATGCTGACCTCAAACTAAGCTTTTTTGTTTGGCCCAGTTTCTTCAATTTACCGAAATGAGAATCAAGTACCACAAAGATATGCTACACCAGTAATGGACTCAACCCTCCCCCTTCTGTCTCCCTTTCTTTTCCTTTTCCACTCTGTCTATTTTTCCTGGAGGCTAATTGTGATTGGCTGATTAAAACAATTACAGAGATAACAAAATCCAATCAAGTATGGACGTTTGCGTCATGCAGATATGTGGACCACCTGGAATATGTGCTGGATGATTTAGGGCATTTGTCCAAACACTGCCAAGAAGATAAGACCAAAACACCGAAATTAAAAGCTAATCAATACAAGTGTCTATTTGAGCTGTGTGTGGAGGGCTAAATAAAGGCATTATGGCTGAAAAATAAGAGCCAGAAGCGGTATAAAGTAGGTGCTCACAGAGTAAATATTCAGAGAAATCGGCTTGTTGTGCAACTATTCCCTTAATACCCTGAATACAACTTATTTCCAAAACACCTTAATCCTTATTTCTTCCTAACCTCCTCTTGTGTCCTTTTCTCTTCACCTTGTACTTTCTTACTTTACTTTTTTTTGCACACATTTAAGCAGACGAGGGAGGTCTGGGACGCCCACGTTTGTCGAACTGGAAGCTTACATTGGCAGCAGCTCCCAGCACATCACAGAGGAACACAGACAGGCAGTAAAAATATCAGCAGGCAGTTTAACTTTTACATCCTTTAGTCTCCTGCTCAACCATCGCCTTTCATTTTCTTGCTCCGAGAGCGAGAAAGAGAGTGAAGCGATTCCAGGACTCATAAACAGGCACAGATGTGCGCTGACCACAGAATGGCCTTCAGTTTAAGTTTATAGAGTGGGAAATACATGCTAGTAAATCTCCTTATCAAGTGTTGGCAAAAATATACCCAGCCTGATCCTGAAAATCCTCTCTCTTTTCCAAAAGTGGTTATATTTTGAAGCTGTTTTGTAACCACTAATGTCACTGTCAGTGACTGTACTCCTTTTGGCACCCATCCCCTATCATCTTTTGTCTGCACTCGTCCGATTTTACGTCACAACGCACGAAAAGCTGTAAGAGTGAGCCACAGAGACACAGAAAAAAAGAAAGAAAGGAAGAAAGAAAGGAAGAGAGGGACTCTGGCAAGAGGCCGAATCCATTTGGAGCACTTAGTCAGCCAAGAGTCCCCAACAACAAAATTGAGAGAGGGAAAATGACCAGCAGGCTCAGCCTCCCACTGCAGTGACAATAAACCGGAGTAAGATGCAGCCCAGAACTGACTGTCCAAAACATGTCTGCTTTGCTTGTCAGCTTTTTACATCAACTGGCAGAGGTGGTGGTGCAAATTTTCAAATCTGCAAAAAATTCAGGGTTTTTAGTGTTTCAAGCTTTAAACATGAAGACTAAGCGCTCCCCCTTAAGTCCTTTGGTTTATCAGGGAAATAACTCGACTGACTGGAGCTTCTGTCAACCGTGAAGAAATTAAAAGGATGGATAAAACAAACCAGTACACATTAGGAAACACATTTTCCAAGCAATTTGTGTTTTCAACTTTTTTTTTCAACTATTTTTTTTATTATTATTATTTTTTATTATGATGACTTCAAATAGATTCCAGTTACAGTGATGATCCAGCAAGCGTCTTAATCATAACCATTTATTTAACCTTCTTGGAGGTTGTTAAAATTAAGGTCCATGAATTTTCCTATTTTCCTGCCCTCTGTTCAAGAAAAGTTTCTCCATCTCACCAGATACACTTCGGGGTCATTGACTCACCCTGAAGTACAGTATTGGTGAACTCTGAGGCTCTTGGCTGTCTTAAGGTTCTCTGCTGTATTGGACTGCAGCCAGGATAGATTTAGATAGTGGTGAAATTCCAGCAGACAATTTTTCTTGCCTATTTGAGTAGAATTGTTTTTATCAGTAGAAAGATGGATAGAATCTGTGACCTCAGTAAAACAAGTGTTTTAGTTATGTTGAAAATAGGGCTGTCATGATACTCTGATACTCTCTGATGAACCAATGCTTGCATTGTGGTTAAAATAAGCAAATGGTAATACCATGAGTTCAGAGCTAAGGTCCTTTATGCTGGTTGCTCCATCTCATCAAGTAGAGGAGAGACCAAGAAGCAGCACCAGACTGTGAGGTGGCTTGTAATACCTCTCTAAGAGATAAATGGGTGCTTTTAAGAACAAAAATTCCAGGGGTTTTAAAGATCAAAATGTGACATTGCAGCTTGTGCCTCTGCAAGTTACAAATTAATTGAGCATTCGTACTTTCACTCAGTACAGTAACTTGCAATCATCACGAAGTAGCAGGGAGTAGTAGGGAAATGCCAAAATAAGGTGCAAAGCAGAGGATCTATCAGTAATTACTGTATCAAAAGCCTTTATTAGAGTCCATCCAAAGACAAGAAAAAACACTCAAGGACATGAAATAGAGAACAGCAGAAGTAATCAAACATCAAACAAGTTTTGTAAAACTTCTTAGCCAAAAAAAAATAACTCCAATTTCTTTTACAAATCAAAAACCCATTACAGAGCTTTCAAAGAGGAAAATGGTAAACGCCTGATGGGTTTTGAATCCTTTCAGATCACACAATTGGTTTTATCTGTTGACCTAGATTAGATTAGATAGACTTTATTGATCCTTTTGGGAAGGTTCCCGCAAGGAAATTAAAATTCCAGCAGCAACAGGAAGAAAAAAAAAAGGAAAGAAGCTTGCTGTCCAGCTTATTGTCCATGGTACTTGTACGAGCCTACAGCCTCCACCTCCACCTCTTGCTTGGCAGCAAGTTTACATTCCCCATGCTCACAGATGGAATAAGGGACAAATGAAGTTTGAGTTGTTGAAAGATGTTTATTTATTTAATTTAATGCCCTTTGAAAAAGTATAAAAACACATCAAGAGGAGAAAAAGCAAAAACAAGGAAATTATGTCACTGTAAGAAGACAGAAAAAAAGAAAAAAAAAAGATGACAAGGAGATGAAAAAATAGGTCTAAAGGTTTTAAGTACTAAGCACTGGAGAGGTACTGGAGAGGCATCCATCTTGTACAGCGCCATGGCGATAATACCTGACCAAGGTTAGCTTGTTTATCTACTTGGGCTTTTTCACTGTCCATTTTAGCACTTAAAGTACTTCAGTCACATCTTTGCTTTTTATCTTTTATATTTTGATCTTTCCTCTGCATTAAAAGGATCTTGTAAGAAAAAAATTTCTTCTTGTTTACTTACGATAGTGAAACATCGCCTTTGAAAAAACCCCACGATTACATGGCTCTGGATCCAGTCGAAGCTGTCAAGTATGTATTTATACAGCTAGGCAATCCTCTTTGTTGGTTTTTGAGATTTTCACAAGAACAGAAGTATTTTTTTCTTCTTTTTTTTTTCCTTTGAATGAGTGAAATAAGTCTTCATATGGTCTTTAAAAATATTAAACTTTCCGCCACAGAAACAGTTTAAGAAGAAGAATTATGTCCCCTACAGTAACAGTCATTATATTCTTTACAGGGTTTTTCCTGCGTTCAAAATTGCATGGCGGCCGCCTCCACCTAATTTTGTGCCGCCCCCGGCCAGAGCGATTGATTTCGCTCAACACAGCGTAAAGCTCCAGCTGTGTTGATTGAGTGTATGATGTCCCTCTGCTGCAGCAACGTATTTTAACTGCAGTTGCAGCGTTGCGCCACTATAGAGGCGCTATATCAACAGCAGTGCACCGGAAAGACCTGAAGCCTCTACCGAAGAAGAAACGGATCGAATCATGTTTTTTCAAGTTTTTTTCCCGCTAGTTGGTGCTATCGGCGTCCTGATTTTCCCTGGCGGATGGTACAAACAGGTAAATACTGCTTGTCTTTTTTGCATCCAAGCATGACGTGTTTATTTAAAAAAAAGTTTCCTCCGTTTTTTAGCGTTGCAGATATGACAGGCAAAATCAGCCAGTACTTTAAAAAGCGACCTCGCAAGGAGGAAAGTCAAGAGTCCAGGTGAAACACAGCAGAGAAAAAACGTAATAGGCAGTTAAAATGCTATAATTCATAGTGGTGACAACGTGGAAATTTGTGTCAGGTCTGAAAGTACTTCACAAGGGACTGGTGATCGCGAGGGTCAGAATGCAGGACAGGACGAGTCGGCGAGGCGAGGGTAATTAATTAATTAGTTTCCAATTAGGAGCATAACAACGCAAAGCCAACGTGTACGTGGTTTTTATTCCTCTTTCCAGATTTTCTCAAAAACACAGAGCCAGTGGCTTTGACAAGCAATGGCTCAATCAATTTACCTGGCTCAGGCATACTGAGGAAGGCATGCACTGCTATTTATGCCAAAAGCACTGTGCCCCAACACAGCAGTCAATTGCTGCCTCCTTAGTGAGACAGCCATCAACCAACTACAGGCTGGACACATTAAAAAGACATGAGGTGATAGCCGTTCACAAAGCAGCAGAAGAGAAGGAGAAATATATTAAAGATGGTAGTACCTAAAAACACTCAACTAATAAATAATAACTAATAATTAATAAAAAATAAATAAAACTAAAAGAACATAGTTTAGATAGTTTAAGAAATAATTAGTTTTTTTTTATAGGGAGGACACTGCAGCGTATACATATATATAATATATGATTGAAAACACTATCACTCTTCATGTCTGTATCAGAATAAAAACAAAAATACTTAATGCATGATGAATTGTTTTGTTTAAGGTGAAGACACCTCTGTGGAACAGACTGAAGGAGAGGCACTTGGATGTCTGTTGTAAGGTGGCTGTTGATGGACCAGACCAGGAGGCCTTGGACTACAAGGAGTGCATGAGGAGGTTCTACAGAATGAAAAAGAGGAGGCTGAAATGTTCTGTCTGGTTGCGAGATGTGTGGATGAAGTGTACTTTCAATTTAAAGTTGCCAGCTGATTTGTGTATGTATATAGTTTTAATAAATGAATGCTTTAACATGATAATGGTCACACTCTTTTTTGAACTCTTAACTTAAAGTATGTTGCCTGTAAAAGAAAGTGAGACAGTTGAATTTACAAATATATGCACGTCATGGCGCATGGTCAGGATGGTGCCACCTCTGCCTCAATTTGAGCCAGGAAAAACCCTGCTTTAAGATGCTGGAATTTTTTCCTCCTACCTTTGGTCATCATTTCTAGTTGTATGGTTTCAACAAGGCTGTATTAGAGTGGCCAACCAGAGCCAATGATCTGCAACAGTCCAAACGATCTTCACAGTCGCTTATCCACTTTTATTCTAGGGGGGAATGTCTTTGTTTGAAATTAACTATCTAATCCTCATTCTGTTCATGATCTTACTTCATAAGAGGAAAGATAGGAAATAAAAGCAGCTCTCTTATTCTCTGCATCTGAGAAATTGCTGAAAGTAAAGATGGATTGGATGAAGAGTTACCACCAGCCGAGTGAATCTTCTGCTGAGCTTCAATGAAAGATTGAACACAGAACCTGTCTTATCCCAGAATTTTCTGTACTTCCTCCAAATGAAGAACTTTTCTTAAAGTGCTAGTTGACAAAAATTGAATTCCTCATAGAGTTGTTGATGCACTGTTTTAGATCAATTCTCTGTGTGCCTTTAGTGTCCCACTGAGAAAAAAAAAAATAGACAAATCTTTTAGTTTGATACGCCTAGGGAATGCTCACAAGCAAAAACTGGCAAGAAATTCACAAGGCCTGTCTGAGCTTTCAAGATGAAGAATGACAACTATCTCTTGAATTCTTCCTCTAAGTTTGTCGGATTGAATAAAACAGTGTCGATTGAGTCGGGCAGTGGACCTAATCCTGTTCATAGTGTTATCGGAGGCTGACAACCACGTTTGCTCTCCTCTCCTGCAGTTCTGCTTATCAGCCTGGATGGAGTCCTGCAAAAGTGACATTATGGCTCAAATGTCCACAGAGCCCCAGACAGCCCATCCTCACTGTAAGCCTTCGGAAAGACAGAGACCAGGTCAATTACCAGACCGGTGTAGGGCATCGATTCTCCACAGCCGTGAGTCTGAATGTCTATATATAATTCAGACAGAGCTCACAGGTGCTGTCCACAGGTGTAGCATCAGGCCTGAGACGGTGGAGTACATTAAATCATTTTCCAGTATTGAACGAAATCATTGTGATGATCCTAAAGCAGATACTGTACATACTCCTGATCTTATTTACACAAAACGTCAAAAAAATCTCCTCTTTAATAGTAGGACCCAAGGCTTCCCAGCAGAGCATTGTCCAACGGTCACACTGCCTCCACCGGCTTGCGTTCTTCTCATCGTGCATCCTGTTGCCATGTATGTGACGCACATGCAACAGGCCATGGATGTGATGTATAAGAAAATGTGGTTCATCAGACCATTGCTCCATGGTTGAGTTCTGATGCTTACATGCCCATTGTTGTAGCTTTCAGCCAATTCTTCAGCAATTTGAGCTACGGTAGCTCGTCCAATGGATCGGACCACAAGTGCCAGCCTTCACTCCCCGCATACCTTAATGAGTACTGGCCACCCATGACCCTGTTGCCGGCTTATCACTGTTCCTGTCTTGGACCACGTTTTGATAAATACTGACCACTGCAGACCAGGAACTACTAACAGTTTTGTAGTTTTGGAGAGGCTCTGACCCAGTAATCTCGCTATCACAATTCAGCCCTTGTCAAACTTGCTCAAATCCTGAAATCAAGTATCGTGAAGATTGTCTCTTAAACAATGATACATGCCACTGAAAAACGGAGCTATTTTGGGCCTTATTTCCCACTTCAGAGAAAAGTAAGCAAAAGCCTAAATCTGAGAATGATTGAAAGAGTATCTTTGCAAATTTTCTTGAGGGTATGAGATGTGTTGAGAGTGATTTTTCTCCCCTGATCGGCTCAGAGGGCCATACTGCACTAAAATGGGAAATAATAAACATGTTCAATATTCATGGTCATGCACCGTGTAGATTTACACATAGATCGAAATAGTAGCAAACTGGGATGCAGCATGAAGCATGAAGTTGGACTGACATCAGAAATAGAGGATCAACTTATCTAAGTGATGAGTAGCATACCAAAGAAAAACAGAGAGGCCACTTCAACAGCTGTGCTAGGTAGCTTAGCAGCTAACTGCACTACAACTGTTAGACCTGTTATTGTAACACCATCAAGTGGGTCTCTCACATTTTTTTATCTAATTTTTCAGTGTAAGCCAAGATTTATTTGAAAAGATACTGTAGGATTAAAATGACACCGCAAGGTACTCAGACAAAAAGCTAATCTGAAAGGGAAACAAATCCATTACCAAGTTTTTGTTTTCTCAGCTGCTTAACATTTCCTTTTTGTAAACATTTGTGTTTGAGTTTCAAGGTCCCACAAAGGCATAAAGAGGGAAAAGATTGATTGAAGATTTTGTTTGATTTAATTCATGTCTTTTGACAGTTGGATTCTGCCACCATCACAGATTGAAACCAAGAATTACAATCAAAACATTTAAATTGAAACTTTCAAAAGCAAATCTCCGGGGTTGAATTGTGCTTCACTCTGCTTCTCACTGATAACAGTAATTCACAAACGGTTGTAGGGAAAACATCAGGTTTCATAATCAAATAACTAGTTCTATCATGACTTTTGCCTGTTTCTATGCGCTTTCTCTCTCTCTCTCTCTCTACTTCTCTCTCTCTCTCTCTCTCTCTCTCTCTCTCTCTCTCTCTCTCTCTCTCTCTCTCTGTCTATTTCAATTTCAATCAGCTTTATTGGAATGACTGTACAATATAGCCAAAGCATTACAATATTAACAACAACAACAACAATAATAATAATGATGATAATAATAATAATAATAATAATAATAATAATAATAATGATAATAATAATAATAATAATAGCATAAAATGAATAAATAGTGTCAGTATCATGTTTGCAGTTAAAAACTTAGGAGTAGCTGTTCAGGTTATTTTAAGCAGCTCTTCTCTTTTTTGATGGCAACAGCAGGTTGTGTGTGTGTGTGTGTGTGTGTGTGTGTGTGTGTGTGTGTGTGTGTGTGTGTGTGTGTGTGTGTGTGTGTCACAGTGCAGCAGGAAGTGCTGCTCTGTCTCCAGCTGTGTGTGAGGACAGAGCTGACACAGCCGCTCCTCTCTGGTCAGCCAGGTCTGCCTGTGGCGGCCGCTCTCTCGGGCCAGGCTGTGGTTGCTGAGTCTGTACACAGTCAAGGTTCTCCTCAGTCTGGGGTCTGTTACTGAACTCAGGTTATCTGCTATGGAGATTTTTTTGTTTAGGGCCAGCTAGCATTAAAATTTGCTTTGGGTTTGGGTTTTAGATGTCCAATAGTTGATGTAGTTGTCTTTTCGTTTTTGTATAATTTGGTTGGGGGGCCGGATTGTGTGACGGCGTTCTTGGTGCTAGGTGCTGGTGGAGCTGAGCTTGTGGACCAGCTGGCTGAGGGGACTCCTGTCTCTGCTCTTCTCTTCTTTTGGCTCTGCAGGGCTTTGTGGTGGTTGGAGCTGGGGTCGCTGGCTTTGAGGTGTTGGTAGAGTTTGATTGCCCCTTTTTGGATCTGAATTAAAAGGGGACATTGTCCTAATTCAGCTCTGCATCTGTTATTGGGAGTGTTTTTGTGGACTTTATACTGGCGTAAAATTAATTCAGGGTCAAACACACCGTAACACTGAGTTAGACAACCCCTTGACAGATGAATGTTACCGACTGCTTGCTTTTCTAGTTATACTAACTTTAGTAACGACAGCGGTCTGAGGAGCCAAAAACAAACCTCAACCAAAAATCCACTCTATAGCCACAAATAATGCTCAGAACAGCACCTAACTTCATCAACAGTACATATAGGGTCCTAGCCACAGTGCTAGACACCAAACATCTTTTTAACTTTGCCTGGTTTCTTTAGCAAAGATACTAAACACAACTCGCCTACTCTCTTCCAGCAGCTGCTTGTTTGTAGCGAGACCTCAGGCAAGTCCAAACTGACTGCAGCGGGGTGACGCAGCTTAAGGAAGAACATTTATGATCATTTCTTTATTGTTTCCTTAAAGTAATAATCACCACATTAATCATTTTGCACTGCAGACTCGGCAGTTCTTCTGCCTTAGCATCACAGTCTGATTGCATTTCTATGAGGAAAGGAGCATTTAAAATGCATCATTGAAAAAACAAAAACAACAACAAAAAGTTTGAAATGAGTGTTGACAAAACTCAGAAACTGAATTTGGATAACAAATCAGGAGGTAAAGTGGTTGTCCAATAACTGGAAGGTTGGCTGTTCGAGCCCCGTCAGTCAGCTGTGACTACTATGGTAGTTTACCACCACCAGGGTGTGACTGTGTGAGCAAATAAATGATGTACCCAATGTAAAGCAGTTTGAGGTCACTAATAAAGAGGACTTTAAAATCTGATGCTTTATTACTATTATGAATAACATGTAACAAGTGGTACTCTGTCTCATTCCAACTTAAATTGGTCGATTATTGTGATTCCACTCATAGTCGAAGCAAATATTGCTCTAAGCTCTTCAGCAGCATAATGACCTTCCTCTTCCTCATGCCTCCTTTTCACTCTGTAAAGATACTGTTGATCTAAAGTGGGCCTGTTTGTCAAGTGCTGTACACTTGATAAAAAAAAAAAAAAACTGGGTAACATGACAGCTCTTAAAAAGTGAAGCCTGAACTTGGAGAACCACTGGTGACTAACCCCGGTATAGTTATCAGATCCTTCCTGTCTGGTTACGAATCGGCTTTTTAGAGAGGTTGCTGTGGTGCTCTTTCTTTGGGTAGAGAGGAGAAATAATAGCAAGAGAAATCATTATACACAGAAAAATTTAGGTTGTAAATCTCCCCAGACTGCAACCTGTTTGCCTTGTCCTCAAAAGATGCCACCAATACAGTATGTCAACATGGTTTGGCTTACTTAATAGTGTCAACAGATCCTTAATGCGGTGAAATTTATTGCAGGTCTTTTTATAGTACAGGTTATTTACACAATAAGTTGCACCCAATAAATATGATTGTGACATCAGCAATCCGTCAACAGAGCAACTTCAGTCCTGACCAAAGTATAACAACACACTTTGAGTCCAATGCAATGCACAAAGTAGAAGGATAAATAACTACATGCGCTGATAGATGAACAACTATGA